AAATTGAGGTCCCTGGCTTGCACTTATCGGTTTGGGCACTCACAACATCGAGGATTGTTTTAATTCGGAGATATTTAATTTCAAAGTGTGCAGTTTTCAGATTCTAAGGGGCTAATGCATTTTGAATGCCCCCTTAGACTTTGTGACGTCAGCGCAGACCTAGCGATTTATACTAAAACCTTGCTCATAGACCTCTGTACACCTGTACAGAGGTCTATGGTGTACAGAGGTCTATGCCTTGCTAAAAGACAATTGTGGTGATATACGGCCTTGCGCGCAACATCGGTCACACTTTTTAAATGAATGCTTCCAAAGGGCGTCAGAGGAACAGCGGAGCCTCCCCCCCAAAAAAAAACAAAGAAACAAAAATAAAAGTCAAATGTCTCAAAAACCTGTGAATATTTTTGGCTTGTCCGGGGTCACGCCGGTAATGTATTTATTGAATCATATTGGTATTTGGTACCAGGTTTGGTACAGCATTTCAGAACAATCACATCCCGTACTGCTCGATGGCACTGTTCAACAGGAAAGGTTGGAAAATGATTCACATCACACATGTTAGAATACGGACAATTAATGTTAGAGGTTTATAAAATACCTAATGTTGGGCAGTGCCAGTCGATCAAGATGGCATTTTTTTCTTCTTTTCAGGCCACCGCATACCATCCAGACCGCGGCCAGTGGCCGCTAACTTTGCCGCCACAGTCCCCGCCACAGTTCCCGCCATTGGCCGCCACAGTCCCCAGCGGGCGGAGGCCGGTCGCCGCCGACAGTCAAGAGGCCCCCATGAGTCAGACGACGCCACGCCGCGCCGACTGGGACGCCTAGCGCGACCGGAAGCAGCCACAGCATCGGCCCGCGGCCAAAGCCAGGGGAGCCGCAGTGCAGTTGTACGCCCCAGCTCCCGAGCGTCGGCAGCCGCACACTGTCCAGAGTCCAGACCGCGTCCTGCGGCCCACGTCCAAGTGCAGCCGTATACGGCCCCGCCACAGGGTCGCCGCAGTCCTTACCGGGCATATTTCCGGTGAAATTTGGTAAATAAATATATTTATTTAGTTTGCTTTTTCTAAACCACGGTATATACATCACTTTTATGCCAATCCATAAACTTTTTTAAGGTGGGAGTCCCTTGAGCAAATTCAATGTAAACATAATGCTTCATATATGGTCCAGCGGACGCTCGGAGGCCTTAACCCTCGCCCGCACATGGGGGGGGGGGGTGGTTGCCACCCCCCCCCCCCCCAGGTAGTCTTTCTGCTCTGCACTCCACATTTTTTTGAGCTAGAAGGCTAATTTTTCGTATAGCTGCTCTTCTATCCTTTCTCGACGTCCACTGAAAATTTCAAGTTTCTGTGGTTTTTGGTTTCGGAGATATGACCTTATTTTTCAGGTCATGTCATGACCCAAATGGCCAATTTTCAACATCTTTCGTTGGCTATGGGCCTTATGAGCTTTTGACACTCTGATTTCGGCCTTTTTTGCCAGTCTTACTTCCCACCTATCATGGAACATGTTCGACGATGTAAAGATGTCAAGGTCAGGGTCAAGGTCAACCTAGGTCATCTAAGATAATTGCGTTTTAGGCAAGCTGAATTTACTTTTTGTGAAGTTTTTTGACTGCATTTTTGGTAAAAGCTTCTCAGATCATGATTTCATGTAATATGGACACATAAACAATCGGTGCACACATCAATATACACACAGACACACACAGACATACAAACACATATTATTGACCTTGACCTAACTTGACCTGAAATGACCTCAGCAGCAAAAACCTGGTCGGGTAGTGTGACAAAGAGGTTCTAGCTGGCTTGGCACCACAAAACGGCATCGTCATCGGTATATGATAAGCAGCGCACTTGATATCCAACGATGACCCAAAACAGCAACATTTTTTAGTTTGACCTGATCTGGAAGGTCAACGACTGACCTGAGAAGGTAAAACTGGGTATCATTGGATTCGTCTCTTCCCAAAGAATCTTTTTGGTCTTTACCGCTAAGCTCTATCTCCAACAGGAACGAAATGGCGCGGGTGGTGGTGGCAACCACCCCCCCCCCCCCATGTGCGTTCTAGGATGGGAAAATGGCATGTGCGGGCGAGGGTTAAAATCAGCGCACTGTCATGAATTAAGTAAATCATACATTATTAGCAGTGACGTCACGGGCCGGTAGGTAGCTACCAGGGACTCAAAAACATGTGTCACTTTTCAACAGCAATTTTTCGAAGTGGTAAAAGATACGAAGAAGAAACTTCCACAACTTCAAAAAATCGTTTGACAAATTATACTATACCTATTTCATGGAAAAGTTTCAATGGAACTGTCACTGACGTTACGATCATTATTTCAAAAATGGGATCTGTACGTCTCTCTTTCATTTGCGCATGTGCTCGAAGTGGGCACCTCCACTCCACGCTCAAGGAACATCTGAAGGCGCTCCAGGAAGCTGATAGCACTGAAGGACAAAGTACTCTCCAACGGTGGTGCGCTGGCCACGTCTCTGACTCAAGGGACTCACGGGACTGTCGAAACAATGCCCCTCGTCGCTGTTTCCCTGCCACTTTGCATGGGGGACAGGACCGTGGGGGGGGGGACGCTTTGTCCGTGGGAGGGGAAGGCTCCCACTCAGCCTTCGGCACTCCAGAATCCCCGTATCGGAAATTATTCACCTTTGACACAGGGCACAGGGCACTGGGTCATAAAGAGCAGAGGCCGTCGGCACATTTTCCTCGTTCATGTTCCAAGGAGCAGATTATTAACGTGGTGACATATCCTCATTCATACAACACTTACTATCACTCCAACAGGAGCTCTTTGATAAAAGATACGATTATCTATTGAATTCATTCTTGCATGTCAATATGACATATCTTCACTGCATTACCAAGCAATCAAATGCCGCGCCCGCAACGATAACGGATAAGATAGTCATAATATGACGTCATATCTAGCAACATCAGGCAATACAGCGCGACGTCACTGATAAAATTAGTACTCAACGGCCAGACACTGTGCTCACACACCACTTGAGTCTTTCATCAATGAAAATGTGTGATTGTGCATTAGCGCAATAAAATTGGTACCAATGTCAGCCGTCGGTAACCAGGTTATTAGTGTCGCAAGTCACTTTTGCAACTAACTCATCAAAAATGTTTGATCAAGGTCTACGGATTTTGTATAAACTCTTTAACAGAAATTGCAAAAATGATTGAATAAAATGATCCACGTTGTCCAGAAACAAGAAATAATATCATCGGCTTGAAGGATATATCCTTTGAACAACGCGTCAAGACTCATTTGTCTTCACTCCCATGCAATACCATCCAGCTTAATGGCATTCCGAAGAATCTCTCAAGAAGCATACCTACACTAAAATATCCTATACAGTATACAATGTCACGAAACTGTCCAAATAGCTAAGTTTTCATTATACCAAAAGATATAACACATACAGCCTGCAGGAGCGATTGTGGTTCTGAAGGTGCGTAAGCGTGTCGCTAATTTCCAGAACGCGATGGGGAACTCCTGATGATGAAATCGATCTGATCAGCAGACAGTGGCGTGACATTTGCCTGTGCGGCGGTCCAGTCCTCTGTACCGCACACACTGACTGACGAAGATGAGGGAAACCCCCGCGTCCGCACGCAGACCGGGCCAGGCTCTGGGCCGAGCTAGACAAACCGGTGTGACGGGACGATGACTCATCTCGGCCGGTAGGTGAGTTTGGCACCACCTCAACGATTGGCGTTAGTGTTACAATATCGGTACAGTGTACCAGACCAGTCCTACACCTCTGTACCTGGAAACCGGAAGTTTATGCACAAAGATTTTCTAGCACGTATCAAGTACCTAATTTGGATATGAATATGGGCCACAGATTAGCTGTCAGCTGAGGCATAGACCACTATATACCTATATAGTGGTCTATGGCTGAGGCTATGGTCGCATATAACTGAATTGGACTGACAGGCCAGCTCCACGGTGGCAAAGGGCGAGCGACTGACATATTTTCCGCGACGCAGAGGCGGAACCCAACTAGGTATACAAATACTCGTACATGGGTGGCTCGCGTGAGTGTGACATGTCATTTTCGGTCCTAGTCCCCGACAGTAAAATTAGACAGGGAAAGCGGTCGGCCTTTGGAATAACCACCCACAAAACCATATGTTTTGGCTACTGAAATCTGATTTCTGTTAAAATGTGGCAACCTTAAAGTTTAGATCCCATCAAGTCTGCAGTTGCATGAGTGTGGCTTCCTTCGGCCCTTTACCCTACATGAACTCCTCACATGCAGTTTTATCACAGTCCCAGGTGCCGGAGCATAAATTTGCGAATGAAAACGAAATCTTTTGGGCCCACATGGCACTAAGATCTTATAATTTCCGACACAGGTTTCAGTAGCTTCCTTTTCACTTTTGGTGAGTGGTGACGAATATCATGGGCTTCAGGAAGCGACCGGCAAGGCGGCAAGTGAGACCGGAAGAGGCGAAAGGGACTGCAAACGAGACAGGCATTCAACACAGTCGGAAACAGAGCGGTGGTACACTGATGTCGTGAATGCAATGCAAACCCAACGGTTTAAACGAAAAAGGAAACCCAAACATATTATGGAAAAAATAAGGAAATTCCGCTTAGCAATGTTTTCCGTTCGGCAAATAAGAGTCAGTTGCATTTCATACTGAGCCATTCATAATGCTGCGTGCGAGGGCACATAAATGAGGCAATGGGTGGACTCATTTTTTATCATTCACCACCGCTCTGTTGCTTCTCTGGGGAATTAATTTTGAAATACCTACATAGTTACAATCTGACGAGGATTGAACTATTACATAATGACTGATATTCTCCGATATAAGGCCAGGGACGATTATTGTTATCTCTACACACCATTAGCTAGAGCTGGATTCGAAACAGCCCCCTCCCCCCTCCCCAACCGATGCAGCACCCGGCACCCCCAAGATGACACCGCCCGCTCCGTCCCTGGGCCCTGGCACTCACCTAATTTTATTCACCGATGACGCGAGACCTCACTGCCCCAACGAAGCCGGCCAGCTGACAATGATGACGTCACCGGCAGGTGGCTTAGCCGTGACTCAATAGATGACACTTCTTAGATCAGATCACACACACAACAGAGAGACACAGCAAGAATGGACCACGATCACAGTCACTCGTTGGTCGTTGGCCGGCCCACAATAAACAGGCCCGTACCGCGACCTTGAGGCTGTGCTGGCAAGCAGCCAAACAAGTGAACCATCTGGCGACAGGGGCGCGTCCAGAACACGTGGAGAGGGGGGTTGGAAGGTGGCGAGTCATACTGATACGGCTCATGAAAAGTGAATTATATTTAAATTGATGGTTTTTTAATTCAGCCCACTGGTTCCAGTTTGTGCACCGAAAGAGGTGGGACTGCCGACTGGAAGGGGTCGCTCTCTCTCTCTCTCTCTCTCTCTCTCTCTCTCTCTCTCTCTCTCTCTCTCTCTCTCTCTCTCTCTCTCTCTCTCTCTCTCTCTCTCTCTCTCTCTCTCTCTCTCTCTCTCTCTCTCTCTCTCTCTCTCTCTCTCTCTCTCTCTCTCTCTCTCTCTCTCTCTCTCTCTCTCCTCTCTCTCTCTCTCTCTCTCACTTTTTTTCTCTCTCTCTCTTTCTCTCTCCCTCCCCACTCTCTCTCTCTCTTCTCTCTCTCTCTCTCTTTCTCTCTCTCTCTCTCTCTCTCTCTCTCTCTCTCTCTCTCTCTCTCTCTCTCTCTCTCTCTCTCTCAAACCACAAGTCCCAGTCTCTCACTGCACACCGCCACCACAAATCCCACACCTTTCTCAGCACCAGTGTCGTCGGTTTCGACTCTCCCCTCCCCCTCCCACCCCCATCCCGTCGACATCGACGCTGCGGGGAACCCACGGGGAACCCCGCGACGGCTGGCACTGATGGCACATTGGTGCCAGATGCAGCTTCCACCAATCCCGTCTCGTCGCACTTGCACTGTGGTGAAGGTGCTTCCCCGTCGGGTAAACCTGCGTGACGTATGCGCGCACAGTGCACACTGCTTGTGCGCCGTAGACGACGAGCGCTCTGTTTATAACGCAGACATCTGCCGGTGCAAGTTCAGACCTCGTTCAGAGCTGGCTGGGAAGTGGTCGGAGCTGGAAGTGACACGGTCAGAGTCGAGTGTAACACGACTCGCGTACCGTGAGAGCTAGCATCAACTCTGAAAGCTCATCTCCAAGAGCGCCCAGCTTTGTAAAGAGAGGAAGAATAGTTCTTCAAGCAATCTTTTCCAGGGTGCCTATTCTCAGCTCCAACTTGCTTCTAAACCATGGATGCCGAGGCCATTAAGCGCGCGCTGGAAGCCAGCAAATTCAGAGTTCCCAGCGACTTTGACCCCTCTTGTAAAGGGTTCAACCATCGGCAGCACGGCTCGGGCTTTAAGAAACCATGCGAGAAGCACCCCTTCAAGCCAGCTGAAGGCAAGGTCGGCGAGGGGCACCGGCAGCCACCATCGTGGCCGTCGTCCCTGCGAAGGTTCTGAGACTGGCTGAGAATGATTATGAGACTGACTGGCCAGTGCAGACTGGTTGAGCGATGGTGATAGTGCCAGCATGCGGACACAAAATTAGCCGGCGCCGGGGTGTAGACCATTTAGTCTGTCTGAAGCTGTATAAAGAAGCTTCTACTGCAATAGGTATGTTTATGGAGACACGCCGGCTTTCTTTGTAGGGATGCATATGCGTAGGGTGTTGATTTGATACGTGCCATTTATATCAATGCTCTTGGTAAAAACACGCAAAGATGTTAACCGTGTTGGTTGTGTCCTCGTCGCTTGTCAATGGGCTGGGCTTTTAAGCGTAATGGCCGTCATGTACGTTTTTGTCATGTTTTGTCTCATTTATCAACAATATCGCCTTGAAATTAATAAACGGTCGCGTATAGGTCATGTTTTACATTGTTTTACGGTGCAGGTCAGAGCAGATAACTGAAAACCGGGTGACAGGGAATTGAGCATAATGGATCAGAAACATATAAAAAGATAAATTATAGAGGGGTTGGAGGCGAGCATCTCAGTCCCTCCTCCGCTAGAACGTGGCTCTTCCACCGCCCCTGCATGCTTCACGCAGAGGATGTGACATCAGAGTGACGTCATCACAGGAGACTGGCCCGTATGCAACACTTTACACACAGAGGAAGTGATGCAAATGTTACGTCATCACACGAAACCTGTCCGCGTATGGACTAGGCATGCAGTGAACATGAGCTCACTTAGTCACTCCAAGCTACAGTTAATGTGTTGCAGTTAAGCATTTCCCGGGCTGGGAGCGAGCAAGGCTGGGAGCGAGTATGTACACTCGGGGGCAGATTGATGTTCCACCACTCCCAGCCCATCGGGCTCCCATGGCTCAGCACTTGCTGCTGCCGGTGTTGCCTGCCCTCAGCACTGCTCAGCACTGCGTGCCAGTGCCAGTGCTGCCACATGCTGCCACTGGCAGCAGCCAGTGCTGAGCCATGGGAGCCCGATGGGTAGGGAGTGGTGGAACATCAATCTGCCCCCGAGTGTACCACTCTGTTTACATGTAACACAGGCTGTGGCTTTTCACTGGACAGTTAGCGATGTAAGCCGTGCTCAGAGGTGATGGTGCAGGAAGTATCAGGCGTTTGTGGCTGCTCAGTGTCGAGTCAAGTGACACAATCCGTGTCATGAGGTAGCAGTCTGTGTCAGAGTGTGTCAGTGTGGCACGAACGGTCCTCGCCAAGTTATCGGCCCTGCAGACTCTGTTCAAGGAAGATGAAGACTATACAGGGAAGAAAGGTCCGTTCGAGTCATCAACAGCGTTTTAATAAACTTCAGCCTCTAATATCTCCCCTAGACGCCATTGAACATGAATCCTACACACATTAGATGTCGTATGGCCAACCTAGCCAGAAGAGCTACTCACGAGGGCGCTCGTCCTGCGCTAGGTATGGCTCATAGACAGAACGGCCCGGGTTTTGAGAAACCGTGTGAGTCGCACGCCCACAAGCCTGACGATCAAAAGGGCGGAGAAGAGGGTCGTCGTCGTCATCGTCGTCGATCCTCGGGAAACGCTGGATCTAAGTGTTGGCCGTTGTGTAATGTGTTGAAAGAGGAAACAGTTGATCATGATGTATCAATCTCCATGATGTATATGGAGGGTATAGTGCATAAGCTAGGACGGTCGAACTTTACGATTATCGTGAGGAAGAGCGATTAGTTCTTATTTGTGGAGAATCAATAGCATTATCAAGACCCTTCATCGTTACATATAGAAATAAAATCATAAATAAAATATTTCAAAGCAGCTTGCATCTAAGGCAGAGATGAGTTAAGGCTTAGGCAATGTAATAAGTTCACAATAATCACGCAAATTTTATTATGAAATTGCAGCGCATCAGCCTAAAAGAGACGCTGCATAAAAAGGTCTGACAGTACACTCGCAATTACAAAATAAATAGCAATAAATAAACAAAAACAACACGCTACCACACGCACACATACAACAGACAACTTTGCGGCCTTAGAGGCCAAAATCGAGCCAGCGCTATGAAGTTCCTGGCGACTCTTGCATTATTTCGCAAATCTCTTTCCTCGACGCAGAGTGTGCGATATCACAACACGTTTATCGCACATGCAAATTGCAAACTACGCAGCTATTTACAAAAAGGCACGCGCGTTTACGGAAAATCTATCCATTATTTTCCATAACCACGTGGCGTCCATAGGGGATGATCCGTAGCAGGAGAAAACCTCAGCTAGATTTTATAGTCGCACTGAACTACGTAAGCTCATTCGTACGTGGCAATCGCAACACTTGGCCACGAACAATTCGCAATATAACCGGTACGAATGTTACTTAAATATTATTCCAAATTCGTTCCGTAAGGCATGATTTGCAAACCCACATAGTAGCTTAGCTCGCATGATTGTCGCCTGAGCCGTACGAGAGCAAAAGAAGCCACAAACGACATACATGCTTCAGAAGCATTGTGCCCTGTGCTTACCAATAAGCCCACTGCATGATTCCCTCGCTGATCAGCGTGCCTGGCATTCACCGTATACGACAAAATGCGAGCTACATCACGCATTACAAGAACTGTAAATCCTGCAAAGCCTGGCAAAGTTCCAATAAAAGCAGGAAGTCCAGTGATTTGCCGCACACCGGACCTCAGTAACCTGACTCCACCACACGGAACCAGATAAACTACTGCTTCTCAAAGTCACCACAGATGGCAGCACGTGCCACTATCACAGCTTGCACCTCGATCGCGATTTCTACGCACGATTTCCCTCTGTAGCTCAAAGCTTCTTGGCTTCTATGAGTTAACCCTTGGCTAAATCACTTTTATTACACTCGATATCACCCTCGTTCGCCGACTTTCTTCTCATTCTTCTTTCCCTTCCAAGTTCCAGTTCCGCGAAGATCAGTAGCCGAATCCAAACTTGGTGGTGTTGACGCAGTGGGGGAACAGTTTTCGGCAGAGCTGCACGGTCGGTTTGCGCGCCATCTGTTGGCAGAGACTGGCGAAACTTCCCTCGTACAGGTAGGTGGTAAAGAACCAGCGCGGGGGCTTCCTGTCGGCAAAACAAAGAGAGGACACGGTAAGAGAGATTATGAGACGTTCTCATTCGCTTCAGCGGTAAAAGCACGACACCTATCTGTGCTTCTATCCTCAGGATACTGAAATCCTTCTCCTCCAAGCCGCAACCCCCCTCCGGGCTGGACAGGCAACTTTATCTCATGCGGGCTGCTCCCTTGGAGCGGCACCGCTGCTCCCGAGGGAGCGCACCCCGTAGCCGGGTGCAGTGAGTGCCTTGGGGCTGGGTGGCCTGTCCTCTGGACGGGCTTAGCCCCGGCGACTCACTAGGGTGCCTGCCCAGACTAATGTCTCCCCCTAATTCCTATCATCCTTCCGGCTCTGCAATGGTCTTGTCGACCGAAAGGGCCTAACCCAACAAAAAAAAGCACGAGAAACAACTTTCAGCAAACGCAGATTGGGATGGACACACGACAAACACACGCCATGCTGGATGTACCGCTGACTCGTGCGCCTCAGCGGATGAGCCCACCTAATTGAGATAGGTTTATAGCATTTAGGCCACTAGCCGCCCAGCCAGCCATCTCGGGGGTATGCTCTATTCGGGGCAGTCCTCTACTGGTTGTCTGGTGAGGTGTCCATCAGTCCGGGCAAGGTACTACATCAATTTTTTTTCGAGGACAGAAAGGATAGAGAGTGAAGTTATATCTGGCACAAGTGTCATTTCAAAATAAATGCCGCTGCTGTCTCCCAGCATATGCCTCTATTCGCAAGTCCAAGCAGTCAGCCTTTTCCAAACATGTAGCAATATCTCCAACTCAACCCTTTTTCAATCCCACCCCTCCACTCCCCATCCCATCTCCACCTCCACCCCCTTCTTATCCCGCCTCTCCGCTGTGCCAGCGCGGCTCGGCAGCCGTCCCGTTTATTTGTTTTGTTGGGTTAGGCTCTTTCGGTCCAATGAGACCATTTCAGGGCCGGGAGGATGATAGGATATAGGGGGAGACATGACTGGGCAGGCACCCTAGTGAGTCGCCAGGGCTGAGCCCGTCCAGAGGACAGGCCACCCAGCCCCAAGGCACTCACTGCACCCGGCTACGGGGTGCGCTCCCTCGGGAGCAGCGGTGCCGCTCCAAGGGAGCAGCCCGCAAGAGATAAAATTGCCTGTCCAGCCCGGAGAGGGGTTGCGGTGCGGAGGAGTAGGATTTCAGTATCCTGAGGATAGAAGCACGGAACGGTGAGCCGTCCCTTTTGATGATTTGTTGGGTTAGGCCCTTTCGGTCGACAAGACCATTGCAGAGCCGGAAGGATGATAGGAATTAGGGGGAGACATTGGTCTGGGCAGGCACCCTAGTGAGTCGCCGGGGCTGAGCCCGTCCAGAGGACAGGCCACCCAGCCCCAAGGCACTCACTGCACCCGGCTACGGGGTGCGCTCCCTCAGGAGCAGCGGTGCCGCTCCAAGGGAGCAGCCCGCATGAGATAAAGTTGCCTGTCCAGCCCGGAGGGGGGTTGCGGCGTTGAGGAAAAGGATTTCAGTATCCTGAGGATAGAAACACGGAACGGTGAGCCGTCCCGTTTGTTTGTTTGTTTTTGTTTTGTTGGGTTAGGCCCTTTCGGTCGACAAGACCATTGCAGAGCCGGAAGGATAATAGGAATTAGGGGGAGACATTGGTCTGGGCAGGCACCCTAGTGAGTCGCCGGGGCTGAGCCCGTCCAGAGGACAGGCCACCCAGCCCCAAGGCACTCACTGCACCCGGCTACGGGGTGCGCTCCCTCAGGAGCAGCGGTGCCGCTCCAAGGGAGCAGCCCGCATGAGATAAAGTTGCCTGTCCAGCCCGGAGGGCGGTTGCGGCTTGGAGGAGAAGGATTTCAGTATCCTGAGGATAGAAGCACGGATAGGTGAGCCGTCCCGTTTTCCGTCCCAAATGGGTTACACGGCTGGGCGGAGCTCAATGTCAGGAGAGCGACCGCAGCGCTACGCGTGAGTAAAGACACTAACTAGCGGTACCGACTTCTGCCGCCAGTGGCGCTGCCGGGGGCGACAGATGGTTTTCAATACGGGCACAGACCAAAAACCGCCGAGAGTCAACTACATACTGGTAGGTAGCTGTCGGTAGTGAAGTGGGGTATAATCATCAGGGGTGGAGACACCCGAAAGGTAATAAGGATGAAGCAAGCGTCGGATGTAAACTGTCTGTGGAGTTTCTCTAATGGCATCAAATGTCAAGAAAATACGAGAACTTATGTTGATAATTGGTGGATTTGTTTACAATTAATCACCTGTAATTCTTATCCATCCAAGAACTGTGTGCAATCATCATCATGCCATCCATCTCAAACAATCAAAACTCAAACTTCAGCAAGGAAGCAAATGAGAACCCAAAATAAGCAAGATGCCGTGTTCGAGAACACGGTGACCTCGGTTGACCCGACCTGACCTGACCCGCCCTATCAGCGCCGCTGGTGTACTGGTAACATCTCAGATTCCCATTCTGAGGCGCCGGGTTTGATTTCCGGGTGGCGCAGCATTGTGCTCAGCACGCCTCGTTGGTGCAGCTCAGGTGCATATTACCCATCACAAATTTTCCCGAAAATCTCAAGCTAATTCGTGGTCAATCAATGTACAGTTTTCCAGCGTCTACAGCTACATTTATCACAGGTTAGTTACAAACATCCAGCGATGGGTTCACTAATGGATTCATTGAATCACCATACAATGGCTCCAAAATTACAAGCGCTCGCGTCTTTAATTGAACATGATGCTGTCTCATTCGAGTGTTTTGCGTGCCACCTGTGTGATACGTTATCACCCGTTAATGGGCATAGTTAGAGCTTCTAACTAGTAGCGATAATGGTCAGCGTGAGAAGACAAAGACCCATTACCTATCAAAAGATGACTGACTAAATACCGTGTGAGAAACGTGCACAAGCTGTTAAAGGAAATGATATCAAAGGAGTGTTTGATCGCAATTTGTCGAGGGAATAAACGAGATGTAAATAAAAAACAAAGAAATGACAAAAATATTCATACACATGAAATTCTGTAAAGTATTTGGTTAAATGTGCATGGTAAAAGGTATTTAGTTTATCAGTAGGTATCTGTATGATATTTATAGACGATCCCGTAAAATTAATATAACGCTGAAAAAGGCGTTTGTAAATATTGTAAAAATGTGTCACTTTTGCTGATCCATGATATTTACATCAACCCTGCAATAAAAGCAGCCAAACAGTGGTAAATATCACAAAGCCCGTCGGAACAAAAATACCACACACACAGTGGTCTATCATTCAGAGCCAGCTCCTGAACCCCTAACCACACCCGACTTGAAACGACCTCCCAAACCACCAGCGTACCGGTAAGTAAACCATTATAACCACAATGCGTTCACAAACGACACAAATTACCTCCTGAAGACCCGAGCACAAAAAAAAACTGGGCCTGTTCAGCCGCCCCACAGCGCTCCTCGGACAATAAACAACTGCTTCTGAGCCGGATACTCGTTGTAGGGAAGTCAGACACGTGGCAAAGACCGCCCAGCACGAGTCATCATCATAAAAAGGACCCACAAATGACGACTGTTTGACCCGGGCCGCCTGCAGTCGGCGCTGACAACAGGGTACATTAGGTGTCGTTTTATGGAATGCGGTCGGCCCGCTTTGGGAGTTCATGGCAGTGACAAAACGAAGGATAAAGCATACGGTGTCTTTTTCCAGTAACAAAGTCAACCGTTATTCCTTTGCTATCAAATTACAAAGGCGGACAAGTAACTGTTCATTGAAACAATGCTTTAACCAAAAACATTAAGCGAAACATTTCGTTTAAAAGCTGGTAATATGAAGGGACGCACTTAGGCTTCTTTCTGAAAGCCTGAAGCTTATTGGGTGTCAGCTCAGTAACGCCGTGAGGTTACCAAAGGTATTTGCTACCAAACGTTTTTGATCAAACAGCATGAATCAAATCGTGAATTTTTATTGATCATTGTGCTGTGCAGTGTGTCACTGCGAAGCGTACTGCATAACTGAGTTATGCACTTCTATCTGCTGATCGTTACAGTCCGAGTTTCTTAACAGCATGATAAATGAACACGGAAGTGTTGATGATGTCAAACGATGAAGTACCTGTGCAGGAGGCGTACATAAGGACATGAGCTTGTGGAATGCACCATAATAAGAAGCACAATTATTAAAGTTGGCAGAAAAAAATCGGTAATCAAAATACGTAGATCACATACAGAATCTGAACTTGAAACTTTTAAGCCCAGAAAACAAGTCATGATTTGCAAGCAGCATTACGATTCTTTTGCGTAGCCTCAAGAACAAAGTAATTATTTAAAGCGTTTTATGTAGCAAGACCCCCGCTCGCCACACCTTATAAGTCCAATTCTGAGTTGTTTCCATTAAACTATCCCAAATCTGCGAATTCAAAAGCCGCATCGCAAACAGTGCGGTGCGTCCTAAGGTTCATCCACGCATATCCCACATCTCTTCCGTCATCCACCGTAATTAAGACAACCATCCCAGTGAAACAGTCTGACTCGAGATAGCGTTACGCAGCGTTACGTGACGTTACGCAGCATCACGTGTCGTTACGCAGCATCACGTGACGTGAATGGACTTCTCGTGACGTGACTTCGTTCACGGAATAGACTCCACGCAGACAGCGCGGTAAGAGTAGATTGTGCGTCTTCACGCACCGTGAATGACCCATCGTGCGTGCGTCTAGTGCGAGCGAGCTTACGGTTAGTGACGTCACAGCGGGCCGCGGGCAGTGACGGCACGCATGAGTGACGTCAACGCCGCAACTACCGAGCCGGGAATGAGTCGCACATGCAGATGAAGAAAAAGTCAGAAGAAGAAACAAGGATGAAAAGATGGCATTTTGAGTTGTCTTCATGGACGTTTTTTTATTTCAATTGGACTGCTGATATCCTTCAGCATATTTCTATAATAAGAAAATGGTCACCGTTCGCTACCGCGCGCAAATTAAATGGGGGGTTGTCATTCGGCCCAGCGACTTTGACTGAGCGTGAGAATAAAACGGAACGTAAACTGAACCGGAAATTGAACTCAGTGGGGGAAATTTGATGGAGGATGGTATTTTCGCGTGAGATCCGATTAATATCCTGGTTGACGTGAAGAGCGATTGATAAAGAATAATGTGGTTAATGATTAGAGGTTTGTGTTTAAATGACTGATTGATATTTGGAATGCGACTGATGTGACTGTGAGGCATTTGGTTAGTAGTCGTGCGAAAATTTACATGGGCGTGTGACTTGGCCTTATTTTAGTTGACTGGGAGCGTTGAAGTGGAAATAAATGGAGATACACTCTCAATGGCTGTCGCGGGAAAGGGCTTAAAACGTCGGATGAAAGAAAGGCAAAGCTTCTGTTCTAGACGAGTCCAGCTAACACAATTGAATCACAATGCTCGTAAACTATTAGCGAGACTTTGCAATTAAAATAATGTAACATGAAATCACCATACCATCGGGAGTACCTACCTAAACCAGAGCTGTCACCATGCGTGACTCAGAATTCCCACGTTAAGCCTACAGCCGCAAAACAAAAACACTGGTCCTCACACAATTAGGTACTCTACGCATCAGAAACGCAATGTGTGTGAAGGTTTCAACACAACCCTGTCTGTTCTAACCAAGTCAACCGGGCATAGAGTGGAATGAATCACATAGAAAAGCTCACTTGACTCATTGAAAGGGAGACTAGGACAAAATGTCATCCGGTGATTGGGTAATCACCCCCACTTTCATCGCCGCCTCTTCAGCGAAATAGAGAGCGGTAGGGTAATTCCCTTCATAAGTGACGGTTTTCTTCCTAACATGTCAATCATCACATGTCGAACCCCGCTGGGTCAAGGCGCCAACATAAAAACCTTCTCTTATAGGTTCTAAAATATCCCATACCTACCATTTCTCAAACAAAATTGAAAATGGAATGACAAATTACAATATTTTACAACGTAAAGCTTTTTGGGAGGAATTTAAAGAGCAGTGTCGCACAAAACACCCATTAGCTCTAATTACAAAACTGGATGCTGGACATACGCGAACAAAGGCTGGAGGTGACACGGAGCCAGTGACCCGACCTGACCCGACCTGACCCGCCCAATCAGCGCCGCTGGTGTACTGGTAACATCTCAGATTCCCATTCTGAGGCTCCGGGTTCGATTCCCGGGTGGCGCAGTTTTTCACATCGCATCCCTACTATATTTGATAGCCATTAGCGCGAATGAATCGAGTTGGAGCTTCGCTCTCCCTGACGATGGTGACAAGAGCATATTGCCGCTGCGATAGACTGACAAAACAACTTGAGTTTTGCCTCAAATCGAAACATCATTATCATAAATAAGTATTATTATTTATCACATATAACGAATCACACATTAACCCTCGCCGGACCTATTGGTTTTCTACATACGCGCCGGCCGAGGGGGGGGGGGCGGGTACGACCCCCCCTCGCCGTTTCGCCCCTGGTGGAGCTAGCGCGTCGCGGAAAAAACGAGCGTGTGCGCCGTTACGAGACGCAGAGATTGGTACCCGATTTTAAGGTCCTAGGTCAACCGGTGACCTTTGAGGTCAGGTCAAGTGCCCCAAGGTACGGTTCAGTTTTTGGTGAATAACTTCGCAAAAAACGGCCGCAGAGCGCCGATTTTGGCAGCATCGTGTTTGTCTCGCTCAGGCGCGTCGAATGATATACTTTTTGTCCGGGTCAGGTCAACTTGGGGTGTTGACCTCAGGTCAAGGTCAGGTCAGCACCCCCAGGTCACGAAGTTGGTCGAAAGAGGTCATGTCGCATATCATTCGATTCGGCAGGTCTTCCTGAGTCCATTGGTGGCTTTCCCGACTCGCTAGCTCAATTTGATCAAGAGTTATTGACGAAAAACTAATATGACCTTGATGACGTCATAAATGACGTCACGCAAGGTCAACATTGCAAAAGTGACGCATCTAACCTTGCAAGGAGTGCATCAAATCACGATTCTGTGTGCTTGAGATAGTTGGAGATCGTTGCCGGCGCCAGAATAGCAGTTTTCATTTTTCCCCATTGACTTATAATGGTGAGGTCACGAAAATGACCTGACCTCATATGACCTTTAAGAAAAATCCGAGATATACAAGTTGTGGGACTCATAATGGATACTAGATCCTGCAAGTTTCATTTCCCTGTGACATCTCCTCTGGCAGTGAGGGCGTTGCGAAGTTGCGACATCTGAAGACCGTGCAGAGGTTCACTTATGACGTCATAGGTCAGTGACCTGACCTGACCCAAAAATGCGGTTGGTGTCAAAAGATGCGGCTTGGATCAAAGGTCAGGTATGCCAAGTTTCAGCTCTCTATCGCCAGCGTGTTCGGAGCTATCGCGAAAAAACCCTATGGGGGGGCGGCACCCGCCCCCCCCCCCCTCGGCCGGCGAGGGTTAACCCTATTAGTGGCAGGGGGGTTGTTTTTATCCACCCCTCAGGTTTTTCGGGAATATCTCCGAAACTGCTGAAGCTACGATGCTGAAATTTTCTGACTTTTGCTAAAACTAAATTGGGCACATTCCCTGAAACTTTCAAGTTCATAACTTTACCAGGGGCGGCTCCAGAGCACTGGGAATTGGGGGGTCCTATTCGTGAAGCGAGTCATTTGGGCGAAGATCACGATGCTGCACCAGTTTTACGAACAGTGAATGAAAGGTATCATGTGATAACATATACAAAGTTATTGTGCATCCTCTTTTGACACGTTTTTGCTATAATAGGCGGATCCAGGCGTCCAAAAAGGGGGGTTATTTTTTACCTCCCAACATAGGTGCCCTGACACCGCCTATGCATGACCAATACAATTTTAGTCGTTCTCTCATAAGAAAATTGTAACATAACAAGACCATTGCCACCCTTTTTAGAAACAGTACCAACTAAAACCTTATTTACTATACTTTTTGTGTACCCCCAATCTCAATGATCTGTATCCGCCTATGATTTTTGAAAATGCATATTTTTAGGATCCATGTGAATTCCTGGTTCATTCTCTATCGATCGGCAAAAGTTGCGTTAAGATTGGTTCAGAAACCTGGCCGTGATAAACAGTCTAAAATGTATCTGCAATTTGCCCGTTTTTACCCCCCCCCCTCTACCCCCCCCCCTATCGACATTTTTTAATTTTATTTTTTTAGAAATGTAGATCTCGTTGAGCAAAATCGAATGCCGTTTGAATTTTGAAAATCGGCCCGTTAGATCTCGAGATATCAAGGGGGGGGGTCGAAAACAGCCCCCCCCCCTGCCACTAATAGGGTTAAACGGCGGGCATCACCGGTGCATGAAAAATTGACAAAAACTGCACATAACTTTATGCAATACTATCGTACAGCCGTTCAAAATTGGGTCAACTCTATCAAGAGTAGTATCAAACCGTAGCTTTCACATCCAGCGGGGTGCCAAGCCGACAAACGTTGCCATTTTCCACAGAGTCGCGTACCACGACGAGCAAAGAGGTCACGGTGCGCCCTACTACGTCATTTGTAACAGTCTGTCGTGTCGCGTAGTTTTGATGTCTACGAGCTACAAGTCGTTTGGTCTGTCCCGGTGGCCGAAGTAGCGAGACAGGACACTGAACATTATGGTGATGTCTTTGGTGTTAACGTGACGTCATAGGTGGAAGCCCTACAGCCGTTTGTAATTTGCAAACGGAACACATTTCAGTCCAGACGTTCTTTGCATCCTATGAAAAGGGAGAAAAAAGAAAAGGACACGATAAAGGCTAAAAAGTTAACCGTAGTGAATAACTACCCTAAAGCTGATCATAATCCACGAAGGTCTTCTAATTTTGTAGCATAATTTAATAAATCTAAGCCGCAATCGTAACCGTGTACCGTGAACCTGATAACTATTCACATTTCATTTCTATCACATTTACACATATCCGCAGTGACACCCAGTGATGTCTTGCCATATAGGTACCGTTTTTAGCCCTGCGCTGCGTGCCGATTTGGTGCACTCGCTCCAGAGCCCTTACACCGAGCGCTCAAGAATTAGGCTCATTATGAATACGTTTCACCCACTCTGTCATCAGCGAGGTGTGTCAAAACTGCCCCGACTCCGTACACCCTCCGCAGCCTATAGGTTAAAGCGACACCGACCCAGCGCTGCCTGGACACATTACAACTCTTCACACCCGTACCGACCCTTCCCCTGTCACTATCGCTGTCAACATTAACCACGCAAATAGAGCATCAAATGGGCCCCCGCTAACACAGGCGTCCACTTCCAGTTAACTACCGTCCAAATAATCACATTCACCGGCACCCGAAACCCCACTCTGTCCATCGTGACAGCGACTAATTAAAACGCCTCATTATGTCGCCTGCCCAAGCCGGTTTGGCCATGATTTTGGACGGGTCTGTCCCGTCGTCGATCCGGTCTATTTGTTACTAATTATCTGAGGAGCGCTCACGGGACGATTACAGTACGCTGCTGGGGGAAAGTGAACTCGGAGAGAGGGAAGGGGAGGTTCAGCGGGTCATATAAAAAGGCACAGCAGATCCAGAAAGGTGGTTTGGGACGTTGCGATGGATATGCAACATGAAAAGGCGGAACTGTTAACTCAGCATCACATCATTAGAGCTTCAATTTCGGCTTGCGCTATATTCATTGCACCTACGCATGCATTCGACTTGAAATACGAATTAATTCGACTTGACACCTGACAATGACATACAATATGCATATCGCATATTGCACATCGCATATCGCAAACCCGGGACAGCATCATCACCGCTAGCGTCACTGCCCCACACCGAATTCCGCCGCCCGAAACCACCACCGCTGCCGCCCAGCCCGCCCCCGCCCCGCCACCGCCCGCACATCCTCCGCCACGGCCCGGGCCACCGCCAAAGCCACTGACTGCCACTGCTATACCGCCGCCGCCGTCGCCCGAGCCGTGGGAACTCTGCTCAGAAGCCGTGACACACGACCGAGTTTAGCCTCGCCCCATCACGTGACTGCGTACGGGGTGTACCGGCCGTGTCACGTGACTATGAACGGCGTTAACAGGCGCGGCGGAGTCGTGTGGCTTGTCCGGAGCGTACGGACCATGTCACGTGACTTGTGGGTCATGGTACCGTGATCGGTTCGTGGAAGAGGAAGGAACGGCATAGAGACAGTTAAAGGTGTAAATGGGTGAAGGGTGGAAAATGTCAATTGACGAGACTTGCTTGTGGAATATGAGGGCGTGTATGGGTCATGCTAATGTGGCATGGAAACGGGCGATGCCCTTAGAGAGCTTTGGTGACCCGACCTGACCTGACCCGTCCCGGCAGCGCCGCTGGTGTACTGGTAACATCTCAGATTCCCATTCTGAGGCTCCGGGTTCGATTCCCGGGCGGCGCAATTTCTTATGCTAGAAGCGGTGTGAAAATTGGAAGAAGAGTGGTGTCATACTTGCTATGCCTATCACGTAAACATTGTTGTGTGAAAAGGTCCTGAGGAGTAAATGACGAAAGACCTGATGATCTAATGACGAGGCTGTCAACGTTGCGCGGTTAATTCGGACGATTTCAACAAACAAGTTTGGTACCTAAGCGTCTTATTACGATGAACATTGAGAGTTTGCACATCACCGCCATGAAAGCGGTCCTCGCTGGACGAAAGGTATCTTAGGTACCCAACTTGTTAACTTGCAGTTCTTACGGGATCAGCCAGCATTCAACAGGCTAGACAAACTTCGCCAAACTACAATAATCTATCACTCGCTCCCTAACCCGTTCACTGCCTCCGTTCACTGCCTAACAAGCATCCCTCAGTGCTACTTTTGTCTCCCGTCACAGCGCCAGTTTTGTCCCCCGTCACGGACCAGTAATCTCCCAATGTCTCTGTGTGTGCGTCCGTCGGCCGTTATTGCCGAGATGGCTGACACATGGTTATTCCACAGGTGATTGACGGCTGCCGTGGTTAGAAGGGCGGTTAGAAGGATGGTTAGAAGCGCCACAGACTGAGCCGCGGTATGCTGCGGAAAGACTGGACAGCAGAGCAAGCGGCAGACCGAGCTAGAATTCCGAGAAACAGGCTGAGGAATAGAGCAAACCAAAGACTGGACATCCGGCTGTAAAGCAGACCAAGTGGAATAGAACAGACAGGCCAGTGAACAGAGTCAGCGGAAGACCAAATCATATTGCGAACACACCCTGAGTTTCGGGACCCAGCAAAGGAGTCAAGCAACAAGGTAAAGCAGAAAGAAGCAAAGATGTAGTCATAGGCGGCGGAACGAGGGGAGGCACCGGGGCACCGTGCCCCTCTTTGGTTTTGGCTTTTTAACATTAGCCCTATGGGCGTTGCATGGAAAGAATGAGACCAAATGTCGGGAGTGCCTCCTTAATTGAAGGTGTTCCGCCGCCACTGGATGCAGTCAAACATCCATCAGGCATCAACAGACTGAGTGGGTGAGATAAACTGCAGGCGAATTCCTAGCTGCGTGTTTTTAAACACCTGTTTTGCTGTTATCATATCTATCGACAAAAGAGCTTCAACCTCGTTGCCCGTACGAGGACACAACAATAAATCCCTACAAATGTCAAACAACCAAAGACAAACAGAACGAGTGAAGCGTCCCATCTACAATCATTTATCCACTCCACGGCGCTGGGAACACACATCCCGCCCGAGAGAATCCCGTGCCCAGTTCTCTACGCCACTCTCCGCATAAAAACCCAACCACTCCCATCCATTCCCGCACCGGTATGGCTACCTAGAACCGCCACAGCGCAGCGGGCACATCTCTTCAGCCCGAATCCGTGCCACGGCCGCTGAGAGCACATCTCGAGAAGCTGGATAGTCACTCGTGCCGAACTGTGTAACCGACTCTCGGTTGCAGGATCGGGTTTCGATTGCAGGCCTGTGGTCGTCCGGTGGCCGCGTGGCGGTCGGTGTTATGGGAGGGGTGAGAACTGGGTCCGATATTGGCAGGGTGAGCCTCTTGTGCAGCCAGACGGAGAATACAGTGGGAGACGGTGTCCGGTGCAGGCCGCAAAACGGCGGCGGTGGTGTGCACGTGCGAGAAGTGGTGAGGAGGATGCCAAATATATCGGCCTCCGGCTCACGGTTTGAATTTCATCTTCCGTTATCCTATTCCAGTTTGCGTTGATCAGAAACAAATAAAAGACTTTTTCTAGAAGAGGATCAGATCATAGCAACTGTCAATTGGATCACGAGTCCATGAAAATCATGATATTTGTCATAATATCCTCGTCTACCCCATAATTTACCCAATTGTATCCCGTATTTACCCCACCATAGCACCTAGTACGATGTCCTAACTTCCTTACACCGAGCTTCAAACACCTATCCCCTCCTTACACCAGCCCGATAATTTTAATGTACCTAAGTTTCTGCTCTTTCAGTTACACTTCCTCCCACCGACCGACCAGCCGCGCCCAGTATACGGCACCACTGCCGCCGTCACGAGTCCCGTCACGACGGCCCGTCACGGTGCAGCGTCACCGTCACGGGTGTGACGCCGGTCGTCACGGATGCACTAGCGCCGCGTTCAGTGGGACGGTTTCCACGCGGAGCGGGCCGGGCGGGGCAGTGGAGACCGCCGCGGCGCCTGAGACAGAGTGGGAAGACGGCGGGGGAGGGGGAGGGGAAAGGAGGAAGGGTGTAACCGTAAGAGGCTGGGTGTATACTGGAAAGGCATGGCGTATCGGTGGTAGGTGTTATGATTGGGAGGGATAGGTGAGGAACGGACGGTCCAGACTAAGGAAGCTCTGTGTACCAAGACAGCGATGGGCTCATCTGAAGATAAGGGTGGGTGTATCTGAGGAAAGAATGTGTTCTCTAAAGAAATCTATGGACATATTTTAGCGCCTAGCAATATATTGAATAATTGAACTATCATGAGTCCAATAACGAGGAGAAGGTACCCGCACACAAAAGATAGCAAATCCCTTACATCTCTAACCATGCACTCCCGTGGCACAAGATAAAATGGTCACCTATTTTCAAACACATACCACCACTTTTTAGCCACGATCCAGACTCCAGCTCAGAATCCGTCCGCTATTATGGAATCTTACGCATTCAAACAACGGTCGGCTTAAGAAAATGATGGGAACACTGCGGTTTGGCTGTCTCGTGTCGCCATTTGGATGCCGGGAAGCGCGTTATGTCATAAAACGACAGGAACGAGCGGAGACGTGCGGACGTTTTATGAGCAGATGTGGAGCTAACTGAGTGTGGTCTAGGGTTATACGACCCCGGTTATCCAAATCAATTTACGGTTGAAGATGACGTTCCACACACAATTAGGTCTTTTGTTTTGCGGCAACGAAGAGAGGACGGTGAATGAGGAAGGATAGTGTTATGCTTCTGTTCAGAAATGATCTCACCAAGATAGTAAATGCTGTCTTACTATGCCGAAATGCAGTCTCGATTTGAATAAATATCAGGGTGGAGTCCCATATCGTGTTTCTTTACCAATAAGCAGATTTGTATCTGAAATGAGATCAGAGTAGGTTAGCGTCATGGCCTCACCTTTTGGTGGTGTCCTGAGTCTTGGCGTGCAGTATGCAGAGTTTGTAGTTTTTACACTCAGCCGTCTCCGGGCCAAAGTTCTGACCGAGCACAGCACTGATCCGGTCCGGCTCGGTCGGCACGCCAATCACTCCCACCGGCGCTGTGGAAGAAGGAAATGAGCTATAACAATGCACTGGGCCTGTGAGCATAGACAGGTTCTTTAGCGAGGGTTCCGGACAAAATATCGAAAAGCAAAATATCGAACAGCAAAATATCGAAGACAAATTATCGAAGTGGCAGAATATCGAAAGCAAAATATCGAATGCGCAAAATATCGAAATCGCAAAATATCGAACCGCAAAATATCGACATCGCAAAATATCGACATCGCAAAATATCGAATGGCATAATATCGAATTGCAAAATATCGAACTCGCAAAATATCGAATAGCATAATATCGAAAGCAAAATATCGAAACGTGAAATATCGAAAGACAAAATATTGAAAGACAAAATATCGAAAGACAAAACATCGAAAGACAAAATATCGAAAGACAAAATATCGAAAAGGCAAAATATCGAACGCAGAATATCGAAAAGACAAAATATCGAACGCAAAATATCGAACAGACAAAATATCGAAAGACAAAATATTGAGAAGGCAAAATATGGAACGCAGAATATCGAAAAGACAAAATATCGAACGCAGAATATCGAAAAGACAAAATATCGAACGCAAAATATCGAACAGACAAAATATCGAACGCAAAATATCGAAAAGGCAGAATATCGAACGAAGAAAATCGAAAAGGCAAAATATCGAACGCAAAATATCGAAATGACAAAATAACGAACGCAAAGCGTCGAAAAGGTAAAATATCGACTTGAAATGGCCCTCTGCGGACTCCTTAGAGCTCTATCGAACTCTGTCAAAATTAACGGTTTCGCTCGACAGATCTTCCGGGGCTATCAATTATCAAACACCGTTTGGGTTTTGAAAATCGGTCCAGTACCTTCGGAGGTAGGAGGGGGGCTCCAAATAGCCCCCCCCCCAGTCAATTGTGTTATGGAATATACGCTCCAGGGGCCTACCTGCCTCTAAGTCCCCACACATACTTTTGGGGCCCAAACGCTTGCTCCTGAAGGCCCCACTGAGACTCCTTTCCTCTATTCAGTCCTCCATACTGGCTCTTTAGGCTAAACATCGGCTCCTGGTGACCATCCCGGCTTTGGAGGGTCTCCATACAGGCTCTTTTGGGTCCGATGCCAGTCTCTGAGAGCCATCAAAAGCCTTTCGAGCCTACGAGTATACTGCTTTCTGAAACCCTTCAGCAACTTCTGAGGGACCGACCCTGGTCGGAGGGCTCATTCGGTCTGGGGAGTCATGTAGGTCTCTGGAGGAGCCTCTAAGGCAGTGGTCGGCAGGTCCTCCGGGGTCGTGCCCCCTTTTTTGGCGCCAGGCAGGCCATTACCCCCACCTACCAGACCCCATTGGTGATACAACCAAGATTACTGAAATTCCATACTTTTCCGTGACTCTTTGCCCTTAGTATCATATCTGCGAGAAACCGCAGGCCTCTCCCCTGCAGTTTCTCGCAAATATCTCAAAAACGTTGGCACGGAGCGCCACCATTTTGGAACATTTTATCATGCATCGTTTCTGCACATGTTGTGAATATTTCAGACCAGAGTCACTCAAGGTCAGGTCACCAGATCACGTCAAGTGACCTCACCTCAGTAAAGACTGCAACGCCTGCTTTAGCTGCATTGAGTGACAGATCTCTTTCAAACTTTCAGGAATTGATAAAGGTAACAACATGTACAAAATTTGTATCTCGGAGATTTGATGTCGGTGACCAAAGTTCGTCAATTTCACGCCCTCTCCCATAATCAATGGGAGAGGGCGCAAAGTCAATGGTAGAAAATTGAAAGGCGCCTGTTTTGGACCAGTGTCATTCCTAACACTGTGACACTCTTATTATTTACAAGTAAACATGACCGCTGAACCGGAAAATTGCACCCGTAACCCCACTGTATGTCCCTGAGGTCATTTCAGGTCATGAATGGTATCTAACAGCTATTCGCTAATAACTTTTGATAAAGGCATCCCAGAGCGATGAAAATGCCTTAGATGTTGTCAGCTCGACGATACGGATCGACTGATATGCAACAAAACCTTCGATGCTTCTCGACGGGAGGATCACGATGCCGATAAAAGTGAGCCCCTGCAAGTTTTGAGTGAAAAGTTATTTAAGAAAAACTATCAGCAAGCATCGTACATTTTGGCAGTTTTTGTCTCCTGCAGGTTAAACCCAGGGTATATTGAGTGAAAGTTAAACCATCTTCGGTTGAATCTGAGGGCAGGCATAAGAAAAAAACGTTAAGAGAGCTATCGAATGCGTTTTTCCGCAGCGCTGTAGCTCTATCCTTTCCTGAGCTATAGGCCAGTTTGTCGAAAATTGTCAAAGGTTGACCTGGAAATTGGTGAAATTTTACGTTCGATGACTTCTGGTGACCTGACCTTTGATTTGACCTAAAAGGTGACCATAGTTTTGTCTTCACCATTTCTTACGCTCTTTCGATCGCCGACTACGGCGTTTCGCTAGTGACCCAGGAGCCAAGTTAATAGGGGGTGTTCAACCTCCATCTCCAGCAGGGCTCGGAAATCCAGGAGCCCCAGCGGGGCGCGGGTTAACCCCCATACGTATAGGGGTAGCGGGTATTTTTCGAGAATAGATCACGTTAAAATCATCACGAAAAAAAAACTGTACCATCGAGCCGATCATTTTTATCTGTCCTGAAAATGGCATGACCTTAACCCGAATAACCGTTGATTTGTGAGATCTTTCTTGAGGCCACGGCAGGCCACAAAATCTCACTTCAAGAAGTTACAGCAGGACCCGATTAACTCGGCAGTTGTTATTGACCTATGGAAGGTCACCCAATGACCAACGACCTTTAAATTGGGTAGCAGCGGCTGCTTATCTTCACGGGCAACACGCTCAATTTTTCTGCAAAACTCCAGCTCAGAGACCGAGACGCTCAGGTCAGGGTGCAATGGACGACTCCTCTCCCTTGCGTTAGTGACTGTGAAAACGCCAATAGACGAGCGCCGGCTAGTATACAGGACAGTTACTTTCCACGACTGTACGGAATGGTGAGCAGATACATGAAAATTGGCATGCGCCAGCTAATCAGTTCATGCCTTGTGCGTTTGACCTCGACTAATCTTTAAATCCTGGGGCACAACAGTTGCGATGCTTGTCCCATCAAGGGAGCCATTAATTCTAAAAAAAAGATGAGGCTTTCTCAGAGGCCCTCATTACCCCCTGCCGAAGGGCGCCATTACCCCCAAAGGGGGCATGCCCCACCATTTGCCGACCCCTGCTCTAAGGGGTCGGTTTCCAAGGGTTTTTTAAACACGGTCTTCTAAGAACGGTCTCGTAGGGCCCTTAATGGTCCACTGCGGATCCAGAAAAGTGGGTTGAGATGCTGAGGGTGGTGGCTAGACTAAAACAAGATAAGATGATAAAAACTAGCTGCATTTGCTTCGTTATGCTTTATTTGAGATAGGTACACTGTAATTTCAAATATTTTGCAGAACTTGTGTGTTTGGGGATAGTTTTCCAAAATCTTCGTTTTTCATAAAGCAATGATAATCACTCTAAAAAATATCGGGGGGGGGGGGGCGAAACTTCCAGATAAATGGAAGAGAATACTTGAGAAAACTTTGCACCCCATCCGAAATTACCTTCCGCCGCCACTGCTGAGATCTACAAAAAAATATCAGAGTTTTCCAAGTCTGTCATGGACCCGCTGATTGCTCTTTGAGGCCTACAGATAACAGAGGGCCCGATGAGTTCGACAGAGCTCTAAGGAGTCCGCAGAGGGCCATTTCAAGTCGATATTTTACCTTTTCGACACTTTGCGTTCGTTATTTTGTCTTTCCGATATTTTGCGTTCGATATTTTGCCTTTTCGATATTTTGCGTTCGATATTCTGCCTTTTCGATATTTTGCGTTCGATATTTTGTCTGTTCGATATTTTGCGTTCGATATTTTGCCTTTTCGATATTCTGCGTTCGATATTCTGCCTTTTCGATATTTTGCGTTCGATATTTTGTCTTTTCGATATTCTGCGTTCGATATTTTGCCTTTTCGATATTTTGTCTTTCGATATTTTGTCTTTCAATATTTTGTCTTTCGATATTTTGTCTTTCGATATTTTGTCTTTCAATATTTTGTCTTTCGATATTTTGTCTTTCGATATTTTGTCTTTCGATATGTTGCGTTTCGATATTTTGCGTTTCGATAGTTTGCGTTTCGATATTTTGCTCTCGATATTATGCTATTCGATATTTTGCGATTTCGATATTTTGCAATTCGATATTTTGCGATTCGATATTTTGCGATTTCGATATTTTGCGATTTCGATATTTTGCAATTCGATATTTTGCGATTTCGATATTTTGCAATTTCGATAATTTGCGACTTCGATATTTTGCTTTCGATAATTTGCGTTCGATATTTTGCGCTTCGATATTTTGCGTTTCGATATTTTGTCATGGAAGCCTTTAGCGATGCGGTTGTGGGGACCATAGACTCGGAGTAATACGAATCGCAAGGCTATGACTTTTATCCTTTCAGAAAGGGAGATGATTTACAAATGTCAAAGCTATAATCCAATGAATTAAAATCAGAGTCATGTATAGTCTTTGTAACAAAAAAAAATGCGTAAAGTAATGGAAATATTGTGTATGATGACAACAAATGCTAATCATACGACCATTTCATTCTGCCCAACAAATAACTTGCATTCTATCATTAACCTCTTATCCAGTCCCCCACTCACATTCTTGGCCTCAGGGCTGCGGAGTCGGAGTCGGAGTCGGAGTCGGATTCGGTCGGAGTCGACAGTTGTGACCGGAGTCGGAGTCGGAGTCGGAGTCGATTTTAGAAACCCGAGCCGGAGTCGGAGTCGGAGTCACCGAAAATCTGTCGACTCCGCAGCCCTGCTAGGTCTGCGGAGTCGGAGTCGGGAGTTGGAGTCGGTCGGAGTCGACAATTCTGCCCGGAGTCGGAGTCGGAGTCGGAGCTGGTTTTTGAAAGCCGGAGTCGGAGTCGGAGTCGGAGTCGCCGAAAATCCATCGACTCCGCAGCCCTGCTTGGCCTCTCCATTTCTCCCTCCCGTCCACCCTGTCAAACTCCTCTTCTCTCTTCTTCCCTCTCTCTCTCTCTCTCTCTCTCTCTCTCTCTCTCTCTCTCTCTCTCTATCTCTCTCTCCCTTCCTCCCTCTCTCTCTCTCTCTCTCTCTCTCTCTCTCTCTCTCTCTCTCTCTCTCTCTCTCTCTCTCTCTCTCTCTCCCTCTCTCTCCCTTCCTCCCTCTCTCGCGCTCTCTCTCTCTATCTATCTATCTATCTATCTCTCTCTCTCCCTCCCTCCTATCCTCTCCCTATCCCTCCCTCCCTCCTGCCCCCTCCCTCTCCCTTCCCTCCCTCCCTCTCACCTGGTCTTCTGTTGGGTCTGGTAATCTGCTCCCCAAACACAGTGGTCTCCGGCGGCACATACTGGCCGTCGTTGGGAGTGCCGTCTAGATTCTGGCCGTCCGCGGGATTCACATTCACAAACGTGGTGGCGATCGTGTCAGGACCTGGTGAGGGTGAAAACATGGAGCGTTACAGAAAGAAATGAGGCAACACGACGGCATTTGGGCAGCAAATACGTCCGGAATTCGTCTAAGAAGAGCATTTACCGGCCAAATAAACAAAAAGTTGATTGGCAAGAAAAGAATGTTCAAGCAATTTTAGTATTTCAATATTTTTAATGGCACTTTTGCTCGGCACACCCCCTCAACCCACCCCACCCCCACCCCATCGTGGATATATAGTGTTTAGCATTTCAATAATGTCGAAGAAGCAATGAGGAGCACGACCAAAAGGGAGTCTGTTGAGAAGGAAACGCAATGTGAAGCCAGATTTACACATTTTGAACTCATCAAAAATGGTCGTTCAGCTATCGGTAGACTTTTGCAACATCAAAGGCCATTTTAATGGCCTCGTCAGTGCTTTCGAGGAGCATAGCTCCTTAGACTAAAAAGCGGCAACGGATGCTTACGCAGGAAGCGAGCCGACAAGAGCCGCGTGCTGTAAAAAGCAGGTGAGTCTCCGCCCAGACGCTACAAAACACCAAATGCCATTGTTCCGGCTCGAGCCCAAGACGTAAGGGGACAAGACTTAATTGTGACGCTGCGTTCGCATAATGCGCCATTGTTGGTACGCAGAGCAGCATCGGACGATTTGCTGACGCCACGGGCTCGCGTCTTTTGTTTTACTGCACGTGCTGTCATCGTGAAATTATGCTGATTCACGCAAGGATTCCAGTCTGGACGATAAGAGCATTTTGATAGGATTGATGAATGAAAATTACAGCTCTGTCTTATCTATACATTTATAAGATGGCATAGGTGGAATTTTGAATGGCAATTAAGCTAAGACTGAAAGTTTTTTTATAGATGCGATAAAACTTTAATTATGCAAGCATCTTTAAAAATCGTTTCGTACAGAACCCAGCAAATGCTTACGGAAAGTATATTCGCCATAAAGGTATGATTCCGGCACAGACGCCAACTGACGGGATGATTTACAGCAATCTTTCAAGATCGGATACGACACAAAATATTGTACTGGCCACCAACGCAAAAAAAAAACTTAATCGTCCAAAAAAAGGCTAGTCACTCACGGGAAAGATGACAAGCCCACTACAAGGAAGCCCTCCCACATCCCTCTTCTTCCCTACACTGTAAAAAATGCTAGCAAATTAGGTAGTTTATAGACTCTCCCAAGCGCATCCCGTGTCCTCACCTTCAATGAATGGTCCTGGTCCTCCTGTATCGGTGGTCGGCGGGGCCGGCGGCTTCACCGATTCCTCCTCTGGAGGTCCGGGCGGCTGTCCAGTTCCGGAGTCCGGAGGGGCAGGAGGTTTCGGGTCTCCGGGCTCACCCGGAGGCTTCGGGTCAGGCACATCCGGCGGCATGGGATCCGGAATCGGTAGAGGAATCGGATCCGGAACCGGTAGTGGGATTGGTATAGGACCCGTACCCGTACCCGGACCAGTAACCGGGTCCGGTATCGGTTCGTTGAATACGACTCCCCCGACGGCAGCTCCACCAGCAGCGGCTCCAGCGGCAGCGCCAGCTGCGCCTGAAACTCCCCCTGCGGCGCCACTTCCGCCTAACGAGCCGACGAGCAGGAGGTAAACGGGAACGGAGAGAGCCGCTAGGCCACCGACTCCACCCAGGATCCCCACTGTCCCCAACCAGCAGCGAGTGATGCAGCGTCCGGAAAACCGGCGACGGTACCTGCCGGCCGGCCGGAACTGGTTCCGGAACATGCGGGCTTCCGGTGATGCCTGAACGCCAGCTGCCGGCGCTGCGCCAAAGCTGCGGCCTACGCTGTCCAAGAGGAGGTCGATTGATGTTGTTGCTGGGTCCGGAAGAGCTGATGTATGTTCTGGTTCCGATGCTGATGAAGGTGTTGGTTGAGGCGGCGGACTGGGGGCATCCCGCCTACCACGCCATCCCTCATATCGCTTCTGGTAGGCTCTGAAGTTGCCGTTGACGTAGGAGCGCCGAGGCGGTAATATTGGAGGGCCAACGGGTGGAGGTGCAGGAGCCTTTGTCGTCGACGGCATCCTGGTGCGATCTTTCATTCGTTGCCTCAGCCGTCGCATCAGAATGTTGTACGGACGTTTAGTTGGCTTCCAGAATCCGTATTTGTTGAATTTGGGTGTGGGTGTGGGTCGTGAGGTTGTAGTAGGCAAAGTGGGAGAGGTAACCGTTGGTTTCCTGGTGCTGGGAGTCGAAGGAAGGGTCGACGGCCTAGTTGCAGGCTGGTAAGGCTTGAAGATTCCATTCGGGTCAGGGCCATTGAAATACGGTCTTTTGGTAGTACCGAACAGCGACATAATCAGGTTTGGCAGTGTCCCGTCAGCAGCAGCGCTGGTGATATCCTGCGTCGTTATCCTCGGTGGGTACGTTGAGGTGCTTGGTTTTCGAGTCGGTAGTGGTGTGGCTGGCTGCTTAGTCGTGGCTGAGGTGACTTCTCCCTTTGTTCTGTGTCTATTGAGGAGGTACCCGGGTTTCGCAGAACCCCCTTTGCGGTTCTGCTTGTGCTTCACCCTGTTGAACACCATGGGTCGCCGTGTGGGCTTCCAAAAGCCATATTTGTTGAACTTGGGCTTGATCGTTGAAGTGGTTGTCGGCTTTGTGAACAGATTCAGCCATCCGCCAGATTGCAAGACATGCGGGGCTTCAGTGGTCGAAGTACGCTTGTTATCAGTCCATGAGCTATCAGGTTTCTTGCTCACTGGAAGGACGTCCGAGATAGATTGAAACGGAACACTGCCGCTAGAGTGAATATCAAAGCCTCCAGTTGTAATGTGATTGGGAGATCCACCATTTTCTTCATGAAGTGGAATGAAGAGTTCTTGTTGCGAGTTGGCTTCTGTTGGTGAGCCTTCAACAAGGTTTCCACGATTTGGAAACGCTGAGCTTTCCGAACCAGAGCCTGGCGGAATGTATTCTGAAGATCCAGATCCCACAGATTCAGATCCTATGTCAGACGTCGACGTTCTACCGATTGTTGTTATGACTGTTTTTGTTGCTGTTACCCTTTGCGGTGCTAGGAACGGCGGTTTAGGCAATACTGAGATGATTGGTGAATCAGAGTAGTTCAGCCTCGCGGACATCATCATCATCATAGGCATGCTTGGATCAATCTGCTGGATGTTGATGACGTTTACTGGGCTGTCGTCGACGGGCGCACTCGGCTCCAGCTGACTGAAGATGTCGGCGAGCTCTGTTGGCTCTGGCTCACCAGCGAACGGATTGCTATTCGGCACGCTTGGTCGGCTCGCTTCCACACTACCTTCTGGTTTGAGGCTGTAGAGGATGCTAGGCTGAGGCGTGCTTGGCTTGCCTTCACTTGGTTGTGAGTTGCTCTGATAGACGTTGCTGCTCGGCCGCCGTGTCGGCCTTTTGACCGTCAATAAACTGGATGGCCGTTTGGCTGGCGGTTTCCAGAAGCCAAGCTCATTGAAAACAATCAAATCTCCCCAAGAAGTTGTTGGCCCGATGGGACTTGGCGTAGGTTTCGAAGAGTACGTCGGTATCGTTGTGGTCGTTGTGAATCTGGTCGCGACTGGCGTTAGCTGCAGGGTTGTCACTGGCGCTGGCAACGCGGCACGCACGGACGACACTGTCGCCAAAGAAGGGTACGTCGTTGTGACTATGGTGAACGGCGGAACTCGGAACTCCAGCTCACTGGCCGTTGGTGAAGGCACTGGCTGCGTGGGATAAATGTGCAGTTCAAAGTAACCGTCCTTCAATGGAATTTCTTCAATGTCTTCTACGGTTCCGAGGGTCGATAAGATCTCAATCGTGGAGCTGATGTTAACGCTATCAGGTGTGATGTTTGCACCAATCACCCCGTCATTCTCATTAGCTCCATCCTCTCCTCCCAGAGTCTCAAAGACAAAATTTGGAGGAAAGTCTGGCAACTCGGCGTTCTCGGGAACATCTGTGATGCCTCCAGTGATGTCATCGATGAGAATGTCACCATCTCCGGGAACTCCACCGCCTCCCTCCGACGTCTGATCTCCGTTACCTGTCGGCAGTGCACCTGCCGTGAGATCAGAAGCTTCCGTTGGCTCGAACCACGTCCCTTCTCCAACGTGAGTGGTCGTCATCACACCATCACTGTTGATAGTAATGATACCATCGGTGATAACGTGTGATAGCGGAGGGCCATCGGGAACAGGAACAAGAGGTGGAGGAGTAGCGGCTTCTGGGCTTGCAGCTCCGGAGGAGGGTGGCGCTGGCGGACTGGGTACTACGCATGGGCGCTCCACGACTCCCAGTCCGCCTCCTTCAGCCATCTCGGAGACCAGGCAGTTGATGTTGCTGATGATATTGTCTGTTACGTCAGGCGACTGGTTCGACGGACTTCCAGGTGGCAGTTGTGGAGGAACCTGAGGAAGAGATGGCAGAGGTGGTGATGGAGCGAGGGATGGAGCCGGAGGAGACGGTAATGGAGTAGAAACCCGATTGGGTGGCGGTGGAGAGGTTCCGATTACACCAGGTTGCGTCACTTGGTTGATACTATTTGTTATGCCCGTGGCAGACAGAAGATTCTGCAGCAAATCCTCGACCAAGGATGGTGACTCGCCAGGACCTTGACTCGGCCTCGCTGTCGGCACTGTAGATGGAGAAACGACCGATTCGCCAGAGGCACCGTCTGTAGGTCCGCCTGCAAGCACAACATTAGCCATCCCTTGCAACACTGGCAAGCCGGCAATGCCTGGAGGCTGAGGTTGCGGCGCTACGGGCAAAGTCGCTATGCCTGCTAGGACCTCACCTGGGGGCACCGTTGGCCTTTGGGCTCCACCACTTGAGACAGTCTGCTCATCGGGCACGTTGGGTTGGAAGCTTGTCATGGTCACAAGACCCGAGTGAGTGGGAACGGTCTGGGAAGAGCCCGAGGAAGAACCTGGACCCGTCTCCACTGGGATTACACCGCCGGCCGTTTCTATACAGAGGCCATTGCAGTTTATGTTTGTGTTTGTCGTTCCTCCACCTAACACTTGAACCGAGACGTCTGGCTCTGGACGAGTATCGCTGCCGGAAGGAGTTTGGACATTAACTCCAGATGTAGGAGATTGTATATTGACACTGCTTCCTGCGGTGATCACATGTACTCCTCCAGGCTTCTCTTGAATGACCAGGTTCTCTTCTGGCACACCCTGTATCACGTGAACACCTCCAGAAGTACCATAACCTGAACCAACCGTTTGTGGGTGAGTTCCGTATAAGCCATCCCCTAGAGCAGCATTTGTGATGTTATGCAACGCAGCGTTTAGATCGGTCGGCCTGGACAAAACAAAATTTTCGTGGCCACCGTAATCGGGCTGCGTGAAGCCCATCAGATCGCACGCAAACCTCAGTGCCTGGTGTGAAATCTCGGGACTTAGTGGTGGCAGAGCGGCCATCACGCCCTGTGCCGCAGCTTCACCCAAATGTGCCTCGTACTTGCTCTTGTCTCTCCCGGACACCTGACTCCTCCCGACTCCCGCGTTGGCGATGGCTAGCAGAATGAAGAGCACCGCGTTCAGGATGATCGCGGTCGAGCTGGCCGCCGCGCCGAGAGTGTTATACGTGGCGCAGTTGCATCTGTCAATGATGACGGGACGCGGCCGAAAATGCAGCCGCGGAGGGTGAATGGCGAAAGGGAGAGGCGTGACAGGCTGCACCCAAGGGTGCTCCTCCCACAAGGGCTCCTCGTCCTCGTACGGAGCACCGTAGTGTGAGCCAGGCACTGCAGCGGGGTACTTCCCCTCGGTTTTCTCCTTGCTCGGTTTTGCGGTGGTTGCTTTCCCGACATCCTTAGACGGGGCACCGTATTTGGATCCCGGTTGTGCTGCTGGGTATTTTCCTTTACTGGAACCACTCGGGGCGTCTTCATAGCTCGCGTAAGAGCTGTCGGCGGCGACGGCAGAGTCCTGCGCCCCAGCCACGTCTTTCCTTGTCTGGAAGGCGTCCATTTCATAGACTCGTGGCGGTTGCGCAGCGCTGTACCCGTGTGTCGCAGCGTTAGCGTTTACACTCAGGTCATCACTGCCTGTCACTCGGCTCTCCTGTTGAATCTCCTGCACGCTGTCATACACCTCCTCCTGCTGCTCGCTGTCCATGGGGATCGGCGCACCGGCGGACTCGGCTCCCAGCGATACCCTTCGCAGGTCGGGGCGCCAGGCGGACGGAGAGTCCCACGGCGGGGGCTGTCTGAGAGGCTGAGGCTGCGGGCCGCGCAACCGGGGCCGGAGTCGGATCCGCAGACGGGTGCGGGGATCCCTCAGGACACCTTTCCAGCCGTCGGTCGAGGCAGCACCTCGCCGCCGACCCGCGGGTCGTCGCTCGTCCTTGTCCAGCGGCGAAGGCGGCCGGTCGTCGTCTTGGCTGTAGTGAGGCCGCATGATGTCGGCACTAGCAGGATAATAGGCAGACGCATATGACCCAGAAGGGTCAGAAAGGAGCTTAGGTTCCCTCATGGTGGGCGAACTGGATCACCGGCTCATATGCTCCATTGCCTACTATTTTCAGTTTTCAGAAAGCTGTTCAGGATAGGCACACGTCACTATCTAGCTGTTTGTGTTTTAACACTGACTGTTTTTCCCAGAACCACTTTAAAACACGACAGATTGCCCCTTTTTAGGGCATCGTAAAAGCGTACGAACGCGACTCCTCACACCGTTCACTTTACGTTCTCAGTAGAGCGCGCACTTTCTCTCTACACCGTTCGATCGTTTCGCTTTACTTCTCACCACACCACTCTGTGTATCGTTCTGATGAACCTCTCCACCCCAGCGCGTCTCTCGCTATCTCCTCACCACTGTTTGCCACCAACAAACCCTCACCAGTCACCACTGTTCACCAGTCGAGCACCCGTCGCGGCGCGGCGCTGTCGACTCACTGGTGCCCGTCGCGGGACGCTCTCCGTCGTCACGCGCACCGAGTCCTGACCCAGACTGGCACGCTCCGCCGGCGCCGACGCTGCCTTCCCGGTCTGATTCGGTGGTCGCCCGCTCGATGACGCCGGCGTTTGATGACGCCCCGATGACGATGGGCGGGCGCACCGCGGGCGGCCTCTGGTGACAAAACTGCTTCGATGACGTTCCGGTTATTTTGCGAGGGTCGGACGGTGTCCCAGTTGAGTTGTTTTGTCACGGGTTACGCTATCGTTTTTAGGTCAGTCGGATCAGTAGGGGATTGGTACAAATATTGTGTGACTGCGTACGAGTGAGTTTAGAAAACTTCCTAGCAGTATATGGATATACTGTAACGGAATATGAGATGAATCTGAGGAGGTTGATGGTTAGCAATGCTTCGATGACAGTTTGGGGAGCATGCAGGAAGTTTTTGCGTAGACTGGTCGTTAGTTACCAATACAAGTGTCGTCTCCTCTCCTCTCCTCTACACAAAGTCCATGAGTCGATTGTGATGTCAAAGCTTTGCGTGAGCTCCAATAATCACCACGCAAGACGGACCAATCCAATTTCTTCGTTTTCGTGTTCTGGTCACGCTCGAGGGTCCACAAACGGCAGTTGACGTCTTCTTTGTGGGTCAATCCGGTCGCCGGATATGATGACTCTGTAAAAAAAGACACACGCACGTGAATTCGTTGCGCGCGTGCCACCAATAGTCCAATCGCAACACTGGACTGCGTGCTGATGTGACGGGGCAATTTGCACGCGACTGGGACTCTATTGTCCAAAAACAGGAACCCTAACGGGTGAATCGGTGCGTCAAATTCGGGCAGAAAATTTTCCAATCAAGTGGTAATTTGGCGTGCTTGTGTTCGTGTTCTGCCGAGCTGAATAAGTCACGATAGCTGTGACGCCCCAGTTGTGATGAGATAATTTACGGTCATGTCTGGAACGGCATTTCAACGGGTGTGACCATGTGTGACTTTCGCAGGAGGGGTCATCGCTGGGCCGGCGAATTCGTACAGCAGAGACCTGCTATTGCTAACTGTACATTTATCAAGCTAATTTGGGTAGACCAATACGCAATACCAGACACTTCAGCCAGTCAAATGAATTTCATCCCAAATATACATAGGTACAGTTCGTATGCTATTGCTGGAATTTTGATCTACTGGATAAGCGAATATATTGATTTTTTAGGAAAGCATTAAACAATGGATGCTTCAAAGCATTTTCCTCCTCAAATCGTCGACTTCAAACAATTCAAGCTTTCAAACCAACTTCGGAGACCCTCCTTATGCTGGGAAGCGTCTGATTCTTCCAAGAAATAGCTGATACAATAAAAAGGCGTTTCTCTTCCAAAAAGGGGCGATTATCACCCTATAGCGTGAGTCGTTGCAGGAGAAGGCATTGGCATCTCGTAACTGAATCAACAAGAAGCAAAACCGATATTATAAATAGGCGCTCGCGTTTCTATGAGAATAAATATGCGAACAAGCAAAATAATTCAGCCTGTGAATTAGCAATCGTCTGATGTAAGAGTCTTTTCATTCCATATGGACTTGCGTCATGATGTAGTTCACTAATCACAAGCCCAAGGTCAACGATGTCATAGTAACGTCGAAGTCGCGTAACATATTTGAGTTCACCACTTAGCAGGTGTTATTTACTGTACGAGTACAATGCTGTGAAAACCGACTAAATTTGCTCCACATGCACCACCTATCAAGTCTAATAAATGTCACCGTCTGATCCTGTCATTTTCCCATCAGGCCCCATTAGGACGGCTGTTACGTGAATGAAATGCTGTGACGTCTGTAAATGAACACTGTCTTGCTGTCAAAGTGCCGGGACGAGGCGCCGGCCGGACGGACTTAGCAGAGTGGAACGTTCCCAGACGCAATGGTCGGGTAAGGCTGTGGTGCTGTGCTGAAAGGCGTGAGTGGTGGTAGAAGTGGACGAGTAAAAAAAATATATTAACTGCAGAATACAGCTCAAGACTACCGTAAACAATTAAAATGAGCTTTAGATGTGGGACCAGAACAGTGAAATTGAGCGGTAAAATTAGAGCTAGTCAGTTACAGCTTACATGTTCACAAGTGAGTTACAAATTCCCAGCGAATATGCGATGCTTTGATGTTCCGAATTTCAGTAGGATGGGACAAACACCTGACGACCGTTTGTCTGGTGATGGAAATGCGTATTGATAAGTTTGAGAATGAAATACTGTTTCAATTTCAATGTCATCGTTGTAGTGTCTCTTTTGTGAAAGAGATTCGTGTACACATATGTAATTATATGGTAACTTGCAGGCGCAGATCCGAGGTTTTCTTCGGCTATAGCCAATGGTATGAGAGCGGCATGTTGTTTGGCTACCACGGGCGGCAAAATGTAGGCTATACGATTGGCGGGCCTTTAATGAAAATTGAAGATCTCTCATCCCTCCTCTGATGTTTGTTTATGTTGATGGGGATGTTAATTGTATTGCGGCACTCCAACACAATGCCCGGCTCTGCAGGTCAACACATCACTTCTTTCGGCTAGGGGCTCTGACCCCTTAAGTCCCTTCCCTGGATCCTCCCCTTGTAACTTGTGTGTTTTATAATCCAAAAGGTGTGGACCTGGGCCACGTCCAAAAGATAGCAAATCTAATGGTCATTCTTCACAGTGAACAATAGAAAACGCGCATATAGAGTGTCAGGAACGCAAAAATAAAATCCCTCTCAGTGACACATTCATCAGATGATCAGCAAGTCAACGAACAAAAAAGGATAAAAGGCCTACTCAGATTAGTTGAGCGGGATTATATGCATCATTTTTTGCAGAGCATAAGCTCTAGGATGCGGTTTGATAGTTCAAAACATTCATACCTATGTGAACTATTATGCAACGGAAATACCTAACGTTTGGTAAACGTTGCCAAATGCATGAACATGAACAATATCTCAGCAAGTACAACTAAAATCACGAAATTACGCTCTACAACTGCTGTATCACAGCATGCTTCAGCCTCCAATGTTTCTAACCGTAATCAGTGGAAGTGTACGTACTTGGAGGCATAAATAAGTAAGGCTTTAATAAATTAAGTACTCATTTTTAAAGTAACAAAGACTAACTAAAGCAGAGAACAGACAAAACTCACCTTTCGCACACTGACGGATGCCTCCATTAGCCGATGTGCTGCAACTTGATCCTGTGTTGATCACAGAAGAAGAATCAATCACTGCACGTGATCGCTCTTCACAATTGCCGTCCAGAGAATGATCACCGAGAGTTCGCCATTCAAATCGCACGTGTCCCAAACTCGCTCGTTTGAAGAAGAAACTTGCTTTTCACAGAATGTTCTTGTCTACAGAAGCAACAAGAGCCTCTGCACGCGCAAGTATTCCTCCACAATTATAAGAGTCCAAGAATTCGCCACAACTCTATCGTTAGAACCAGCAGGGGCGGCCAGTGTCGCCCGTCCGCCTCCCACCGCGCCCCGAGCTCAACTGACGAGCTCCTCTCCCGGCACCTGCCTCTAACTGACGGTCACCTCAATCGTCCGCCGCCTCCTCCGACGACGCTAGCGACGCTCGAGACACGCGGCGGCGGCGGACGCGGCGCGGTAGAGGTAAGTTGTTCCGCGTCGCTGGCGACGACTGCCGAGCCGATGCGCCGCAAAAGCCCGGGTGTGTCCACGACACGGCCAGCTTATCATAAACTGCGGTCTCTGTGTGTGTGTGTCGGCGGTGGAAGCGTGCGGTACCGAACGGCACAGTGACCTCTTGACCTCGGAGGATGTGACGGACATGTTGAAGACGCTGCTGGTGTGATGGGTGATGGATGAGATAAGATAGGTGGATACGGTACTAAGAATGGCGCTGATGAGAGTGATGAATGTTATGGCGGTAGTCGTATGTGATGTGAGATTGCTAATGGGATACGGTTATGCAAAGTTGGTAGTTATGTTACCGTGCAAAGTACAATCAACGATAAGAGTAACATAAATCATCACAATGCAAAAATATGAATAGGATGCAAAGTAAATAAAATGTGATTTAGGTAACAAACTATTTCAAAGGAGCAAAGCGAAGCTCTTTCTTTCCTATTTATCGACAAAGTCCAACACTTTGTCGAACAAAGTCATGTTGTATCCTTAGATTCAGGCCAGCAGCAACAACTCGTCATATGATAGGCATTGAAGCTTCAAAAAGCTGCATCATGAAACTTGCATAACTATCCATATATGAAGAAGGTATAACAACACCAGGCACCGACACCTTTTGATGAGTAGTGTGTGAGTGAAGTGATGACCATCAAAACTCCCAAGCACAATAATTTCTCGGTAATGAGTAGCCGCTCAGCAAGCTAACGACTAAGCTATGGCGACGAGATACCGATGAATTACTTGCGCTGAATAATTGTCGATTTACACGAGCGTCAGCAGCTTCACACACTGTCGTTAATGAAAACTATGATGGGATAAAGTGACAAGAAGTACTTGCACATGCACGACCACGCAAAACACATTTCGGTACTCACCATAGCCGAAGGTGTGTGCTGAGATGAAGACATCACCGGCGCCCACATTTATTCGCTTTGTCCTTTCGCGGTAGATCACTGTTGGGGCAGTGACTGTTCTGCCGGTTCAAATATTTTTAGAGTCACCTATATGTCGTCAGTAGGTTTCACGGTGGCCCCGGCTCCTCCTGTTGGAGTTCCAGAGAGCACTGGCTTCCTCGGCCGCCACTCCGAGAAGGTCGCCTCGCGCCAAGATGCCCTCTTGAGGCTTCTCGTCATCTGAAGCGCTGGTACCGGGTCTCCATGGAGTTGAGAAACAGCTGGATAATGGATATACTGCTCGCTCCACCTTGCCCTACCAGGCCGCCTCGACGGCCCAGGCTGTGGACATTGCGGCCCGGAGCTCGTCTTGCTGGTCTGCCAGCAGGAGGCCTGGTGCTCGTCGCCGACTTCAGGATCTTAAAACATTTGCCACACTGCTGGCACTGGTGCTGCACCTCGTACAGCTCGTAGCAAAGCCTGTGAACGCATGCAAAGTGTAATTAGTAGGTATATGAAAAGAGCCTTTTATATTCAAAATAGATTCATTGTGACGTTTCGTACGTAGATATAAGATATGGTCACCATAGCATAATTTTTCGGAGAATGTGTTTGTTGTAAGCATGTTTTTGGGACATGCTTACCACAAGCACAAGCACCTAAACATGTAGGTGTAAGAAATGTGCAAATAACCCACCAGCTTTTAAAAGGCCTACCTACACATCTAGGATACCTAACTCATCCTCCTCTAGCACACCCTCGACCAAAAAAAAAGAACTAACATCTCCAGTAAATAAACACAACGTCGTAATTTGGAGACCTGGACAATCACAGAGGCTTTGACAGGTTCTGTTTAATCCGATCTCTCATCCGAGACAGCCCCGGCCGCCGTCTGCCACGGGTCGACAGGCACCACAGATTTATCTGGCAATGTCCGTTAGGTGCGACACGCTTGGGCCAATGTTGTACGGTCGCACGGCATGAGGAGATGTTGGACGATAGAACGACACTGCCGGAGATAAGAATGTGCTAAGATGTTGTAAATACATCAGACACTCTTGTGCTGCTAAACGGGACGAGTGACGTTATATCACCTCTGCTGGAGGAATTCCGTGACATCTCTTATAACGTTACGATGCTTAGGTCTGCTGTTGTGCATCGTTCTGCCGCGCAGAACTGACATTACGCCACGTTACAATGCTAAGGTCTGTCGTTAGTTATTTATTTCACAGTACGACGCTCAAGGGATGCCATTGCACGACTGTATGCAAATGCATATCACCAGCTACTATTTACGCAGAATTCAACAAAGTTCCCAAATCTGAGGCATTACAGGCGAAGCTGTAGGAGGCCGAAAAAGTGTGCAATAGTCATTAGAAATCGACATCTCCAGTATGATAAAGATCCGGAGAATCTCACCCACTGTCCTGGTTCAGATGTGGTAAAATCACATCTCCTAAGGAGGCGCGATTTTTCTCTGAGAGAAAGGGGGACTGCGGTTGATTTAGTACAGCAATATCGCACGTCTCGCCATCTCGGCTCACTGATCGAGGCCAAGTGAACATGAGAACCGAGAGATGCACTGCAATGAGCTGAGCTGTCCAAGCTGTGAATTCCCACGCTTATAGTGAAAAGTAAAACCGAGTAGGTAGCTAGGTGTCTCTTGAAGAAACGTTTGACGCGCTATTTGCTCGGGTGGTTTCTAAAAGATGTGATTCATGCCAGTGGAATTGGCATAGTGAGTTCATTGCCGGTCAAAAGGAAAAGCTGTGTTGTATGGATGGATGCTATCGAATGGCGTGATAACTTGACTTTTTGCACACTGTTCTCACGTATATCTTGACATGATAGTCTGAATCTGCCGCAATGCGTTTAGCGGTAGTTTTCGCTTTGAGTTTTTACAGACGAATAATTGTGTTGGCAATGAAAGGATGCCAGAGACTTCAGAAATAAGTAAATTTGGCTTCGTTGCACTTTTCCATGTTACAATCTGCAGGTGATATAAATAGCTGGTAGGCACTATACAAAAGGTTACCAATTCCATATAAATATTCCATAAATATTCCATTCTGCTTTTTACAGCATTCTGTTTTATACAGTTTGCTATACCTAAATGTGGTTTGATATCATTTCAATCCCATGCAAGAATCACATTTCTGGTTCTCCATCCAAAACCTACTAGCTTCCCGTTTACCAACCAGCCATCAAACCCGTATAGCTACGGCAGAGTTCAGTGAGCATTACACCACCGGTAATCGCAGCCCAGTTTCTGGCCACCCACTGCACCTGCCTCCCAATAACAGCCATCAGCACGGAGCTCTGATCACCACCCATGACCCCCTCCCGCCGCGAGCGGTGAATCATCTGTCTCTACCGGAAGTGACGTCATCAGGTGGCCCATTTTTTCACCGGCGGCCGGGCGCCACAGTTTGCCGGGAGCGAGGCGAGCAGTGACGCGTGTGCGACGACCAGCTTTCGCGCGGGTATGAGCGGAAAGTTTTGTCTAATGCAGGGGTCGGCAAATGGTGGGGCATGCCCCCTTTGGGGGTAATGGCGCCCTTCGGCGGGGGGTAATGAGGGCCTCTGAGAAAGCCTCATTTTTTTTTTTAGAATTAATGGCTCCCTTGATGGGACAAGCATCGCAACTGTTGTGCCCAAGGATTCAAAGATTAGTCGAGGTCAAACGCACAAAGCATGAACTGATTAGCTGGCGCATGCCAATTTTCATGTAGCTGCTCACCATGCCGTACAGTCGTGGAAAGTAACTGTCATGTACATTGTACATACTAGCCGGCGCTCGTCTATTGGCGTTTTCACAGTCACTAACGCAAGGGAGAGGAGTCGTCCATTGCACCCTGACCTGAGCATCTCGGTCTCTGAGCTGGAGCTTTGCAGAAAAATTGAGCGTGTTGCCCGTGAAGATAAGCAGCCGCTGCTACCCAATTTAAAGGTCGTTGATCATTGGGTGACCTTCCATAGGTCAATAACAACTGCCGAGTTAATCGGGTCCTGCTGTAACTTCTTGAGGTGAGATTTTGTGGCCTGCCATGATCTCAAGAAAGATCTCACAAATCAACGGTTATTCGGGTTAAGGTCATGCCATTTTCAGGACAGATAAAAATGATCGGCTCGATGGTACAGTTTTTTTTTTCGTGATCCGACCCTTTTAACGTGATCTATTCTCGAAAAATACCCGCTACCCCTACATATACGTATGGGGGTTAACCCGCGCCCCGCTGGGGCTCCTGGATTTCCACGCCCTGCTGGAGATGGAGGTTGAACACCCCCTATTAACTTGGGTCCTGGGTCACTAGCGAAACGCCATAGTCGGCGATCGAAAGAGCGTAAGAAATGATGAAGAAAAAACTATGGTCACCTTTTAGGTCAAATCAAAGGTCAGGTCGCCAGAGGTCATCGAACGTAAAATTTCGCCAATTTTCAGGTCAACCTTTGACAATTTTCGACAAATTGGCCTATAGCTCAGGAAAGGATAGAGCTACAGCGCTGCGGAAAAACGCATTCGATAGCTCTCTTAACGTTTTTTCTGATGCCTGCCCTCAGATTCAACCGAAGATAGTTTAGCCTGCAGGAGACAAAAACTGCCAAAATGTACGTTGCTTGCTGATAGTTTTTATTAAATAACTTTTCACTCAAAACTTGCAAGAGCTCACTTTTATCAGCATCGTGATCCTCCCGTCGAGAAGCATCGAAGGTTTTGTTGCACAATGCACATCAGTCGATCCGTATCGTCAAGCTGAACACATCTACGGCATTTCCATCGCTCTGGGATGCCTTTATCAAAAGTTATTAGCGAATAGCTGTTAGATACCATTCATGACCTGAAATGACCTCAGGGACATACAGTGGGGTTACGGGTGCAATTTTCCGGTTCAGCGGTCATGTTTACTTGTAAATAAGAGTGTCACTGCAGTGTTAGGAATGACACTGGTCCAAAAGAGGCGCCTTTCAATTTTCTACCATTGACTTTGCGCCCTCTCCCATTGATAATGGGAGAGGGCGTGAAATTGACCTGAACTTTGGTCACCGACATCAAATCTCCGAGATACAAATTTTGTACATGTTGTTGCCATCAATTCCTGAAAGTTTGAAAGAGATCTGTCACTCAATGAAGCTAAAGCAGGCGTTGCAGTCTTTACTGAGGTGAGGTCACTTGACGTGATCTGGTGACCTGACCTTGAGTGACTCTGGTCTGAAATATTCACAACACACAACATGTGCAGAAACGATGTATGATAAAATGTTCCAAAATGGTGGCGCTCCGTGCCAACGTTTTTGAGATATTTGCGAGAAACCGCAGGGGAGGGGGCCTGCGGTTTCTCGCAGATATGGTACCCAAAGAGTCACGGAAAAGTGTGGAATTTCAGTAACCTTGGTTGTATCACCAATGGGGTCTGGTAGGTGGGGGTAATGGCCCTGCCTGGCGCCATAAAAGGGGGCACGACCCCGGAGGACCTGCCGACCACTGGTCTAATGGGTGCAAATGTGGAGACAAGTGATGGATTGCTATTGGGGAAAGCCTTCGCTAGAGCTCATGTCGATGGCTAATGGGCTTTCTGCAGAAATTTCTCTGCGAAATGAGTTTACGTAGAAGACAGAAAAGCCCTCGAATAATGTTAGATACCTTAAATTTACACTTTAATACCCAGCTCAGTGACGAATCCATGAATGGAGCTGTAACGACTGTGAAGAAGCCAAAAAAGTCATTAATCACCTTTCTGTTCTACTAGTATATCTCAATGTGTAAGGCGAAATGGCGAACTGCACACCAATGCAAATGCATGTGCTGGATGCCAGCAAGTGGTACATAGTCGAAAATGAGAATTAGCTAGATAATAGACATCTTCTAACTGCAGCTGCCCTATATCATTTACCATGTGCGATATAAATTTACTCGTACACATTATGTATGTCCAGGATGACGCTTCTATGACGGCCGTTGAGGGTAAGGGCCAGCATGTAACTTCCCTTGCAAGGCATTCATGCTTCACCTGACACACTCTTGATGATCAGCGACATGTGACATTGATCGCAACGGTTAAATACACCTCAGAGGTTTTGTCTCCGTGCGATTTCGTTCGTATCTAGTCACGAACCAACCACTTGTTCACGTAGCATGAAATTTAGCCGATATACAAATGGGTCAAATTGACCGCTATAGATGGGTCACGGCGATGTTTTTATCTCAATCGCTGCATTGTCGAGAGATGAAAGTAGGTAATGACCGATTGAATCTGGCGACATACCTATGTGGAAGTATGCCGCTAAATACGTCATAGCGCTCGGGGGAGATCTGTGATTGGATTGGTATAAGATTACTGATGGGAGAGGAAAAAATGATGGAGTGAAGAATGAGGATAAGGGGATGAAGAGGGAAAAATAAGAGATGGAGACCGAGAGGAGAGAGAGAGAGAGGGAGAGAGAGAGAGAGAGAGAGAGAGAGAGAGAGAGAGAGAGAGAGAGAGAGAGAGAGAGAGAGAGAGAGAGAGAGAGAGAGAGAGAGAGAGAGAGAGAGAGAGAGCGAGAGAGAGAAATATATATATATATATATATATATAAGTTAAGGGAGAAGCCTAGACCTGACCTTCCTTGCAATACATTGAAAATAGGATATACCTAACTGGCATCCTTGCTTTAGTATCAAAACCAACTACGAAAATCAAGTTCCCCTTGATCCACCCAAACTGTAGCACTGGATTTGGTTTGTCCAGTCATTCACATATCAGGTCATGCTATGGGCAAGCCCCTGCACTACTGCAGTGAACAGAGCCCATGACCGAGCCTCAAAATTCGGGGACTCGAGTAGCAATCACACGTGCCCTCACGCGTGAATACGAGGCATTTCCGCGGATTTATTTCCCCCACAAGTCCGGCGTCTGTGATGGGTCCCTGCCGCCTCCGGCGCACTGGGTCAGCGGGCGGCGGCGGCGCGCGCCGTTTGCGGTGCGCCGAAATCGCCGCCAACGGGCTGCAATCGTCGCGGCGATCACTGTCCGCGAAACCGCGCCGTATTAGCCGCGGGCGCCGGCGGCGCCGCCGGTTGATAAGGAGGTCAGCGGAGACGAAGTGTGCAACGGATGGCTCACGGTACCTACCCTGGGGAGTGGGGATGGTCGCCCGCGGCCGCCGCCGCGCGCGGGGACCTCGGGTGGCACCGAGCATGTCCCGTTCCATGCCCTGATGGGATCGAACAGGAAATACCGAGCCATTTGAGCTCAGTGCGGTGTTTTGTAGAATTGCCACCTAGCTGAAAATTGACAGCTTAAAGGAAGGGTGCCACCTTCCGAAATTTTTGTTCTATGAATCTATTTTACTTATTTGAATTTTTAGACGTGGTTAGCGCGTCCACAATATACAAAAAACCGAAACATTGCATTTAATACATTGGCCAAAAAAAAAGATCGTTGTTTATATCACCACTACAACTCAAGGTCGTTTGATGTGGCAGCTAGGACGGCTGGCATATCCTGTTGTCATGGCAACATATCATTCTGCCATTTGCATTGATGGCGCAACTGAGACAAAAAGATGAACAAATAAAAAGGAAGAAGATAACATGATTTGAACTAAGTTGTAGGTAACCAAGTAGGTAACTGTTGGCCATATTTGCCAACAGTTAAAGAACATCAAATAAGTCGAGTAAAGGTTTTTCCTTTACAATGCTTAAGAGATCTATGGAACCCTTCACCCTTCATGCAACTTACTAGAAAAACTTCCCAATTAAAATTTTAAAACTTAAGTGTATACCATAAAGAAAAAATATACCCTTTCAAAATGATAAAACATGCTTCAAAAGTATAACTTTTATACATACCTTTGCTGATTTCATGTTTTATAAAATACCCTTAACACGACGAGGAAATAGTGCTGAAGATTTTTGCCTGCCCGAATGCTGGCAGCAAAACTCGCAAATGATAACTTCACGTGCGGATTCAATGCTGACCGTCTCGAGCATAGGTAAGTCATGGATGAGATAATAATGGATTGGTGTCTTCGCAGTTTTTGGCGACATTGAGCTTAGGCCTGCCATCTAGCGGGAGAATTATCGTAAGTTAGGAGCAAGCCGAGTGAACGCCGCTGATTAGCATTGTGACACACGGGAATGTGGTGTAGTAGCGGGCTTGTTGTGCAATTTTTCAAAAGGTTACGTCTATATATGTCAGTAAAAGCGAAGAAATTAATAGAATTATGTGCAGCGTCAGTAATAAGATAAGCAGTTCCATGTTATTTCCTCATTAAATCGTGAAACAGGGGGTTATTGGAGACTTCGCCAGCACGTGTCGTTTTCGCTATTTTTCACATGAGTCTTTACTTGGCCTAAATCAAACAAATTGCCCGATCAAAGAACAAAACGAACGTAAAGTACTATCTACAAGTCTAATGAAAAAGTTGAACGGAATTGCTAACGTCATTGCCGCTCAATATGCCATTCAAGACGCTCTTTGAAAAGGACCCAACCAGTGCTGCGTAGTCGATGAAATTTCAGTGACTTTGGCTCCAACTCCGATTCCGGTATCCAAATATCGACTCCGACTCCTCCGGGCAGAACTGTCGATTCACACAGACTCCGACTCTGACTCTGACTCTGCAGCCCTGGTAAGTCTGTGGATTCGATGACTTTTCGGTGACGTTCGACTCATACTCCGACTATAGCTTTTAAAAATCAACCGACTCCGAGTCGGAACTGAACTGCTGGCTCTGACTACAACTCCGCAGCCCTGGCCTAAGATAGCCGCCTAAAACAACTTTGATGTGTGATCTTCTTCTTACGTACATTGTTAATGTTACCTATTTTAAACAAGGGGTGGAAAAGGGAGACGAAGCCTTCACAAACAAGGATCTCCTGTTGCGGATCAATCAGCTGCTGGAACAGAAAGGCATAAACTAAAACACCACGCATCTCAGTTCCTCGTTTTCTTTACGACTCTGCACCAATGTAAGCACTGATCAATGCAGTGCGAGCATCGATGTGACATTTGTGTACAAAGTTTGAGTGTTATCCGCCCAGCCGTTCTTGAGATATGGAAGCGGCACCCCGTCCCCGCACGTGCGCACGTGCAGTAGCACCCTCATAGTGACACATGGAAATGCATTGGCCACTGGGTGCCTAACTACTAACGAAGTTTTACTGTAATGGGCCCAGCCATTGCGGAGTTACTTTATGTGGAACAATTTCGACACCCCTAAGTTGGCACGTGGCACGTGCCGTAACAATTAACTGAGATGGAAAAAAACGAGCGAAATTCGGAGAAAAAGGAATAAGCCTACCAAATATGTATGGCATATTGTCAAATTGCTGTACCATTGTGAGTAAATGACAATTGAAAAGGTCGTACAAGCCGATGGGACCGGGCGTTTCAATACACACCGTCTTACGCATTTTATTTTCGTTATTACCTAAATGCTGCTTGACATTTTTGGCTTTCAAGCATTTAAGACATTTTTATCGTCTCAAGTCAAGTAAGATTACCTCCAACTCGTGGGAATATGCACTTCAAGCCAACTAACCCACCACACCCACGTGTGTCATAATGCTGAGAGATGGCGTTCACTCGGCTTGCTCCTAACTTACGATAATTCTCTCGCTAGATGGCAGGCCTGATCCCAATGTCGCGGATCCCAATGTTAATTTCCACGAGACACCAATCCAGTGTTATATCATCCATGGGTAAGTGAAGCCGGTTTTTAGGTTCATGTGAGGCTAATCTTGTAAAAACTGCGTTGTGTCCAAAAGGTGGCACCCTTCCTTTAACAGTGCTGAGTTAACTGAGGATTAGAAGAAAAAGGGTCGCGAGACGAGTTACATTGTGAGAATTTCCCAAGATATGGAGATGTCTCATGCAAATAGACCTTCCACCTTTTCTTCGGAGTCAGTACATAGTGGTGCAAAGATGACGAGATGCATTCAACGAGTGAAGATAGGGTATTGTCTGAAATAGCCATGATATTATGAAATAGCACCTACCTATATTCAATAAGTAAATTTATCCTAGTTTTGCTACATCAAAAACTAATGCTTCGCTCATTATCCACCTAGCAGTTAAAAATCTTACCACATCTTGGCAAAGCGACGAATCAGAAGAGGCATCGCGTTGTATGTGACTGGTAACATCTTCATTATCCAATATCCAGACAGTCGTTTGCAATTTATACCTATAAAGAAATACATTCTAACTATATAATAACGCCTTGCTGGCACCAACTCGTCTCCTCTCACCTGCACGTCTGGCGGCGCCGATGGCGCGCTAAAGTGGACCGTGGGCGGTGGGCGGTGCTCTCGTGAAATACCGGCGCCGTTTGGTCACACTCGAGTCCCCGGGCCACGCCGAGCTGCACCGCTAGAGGACGAGCTGCGGTCGTCCGGTGCCGAGAGCTTTCGCAGCCGCCCGCGGCCCTCACTGACCGGAGGATGGAGGTTTCTTCGGCCTGCAGCGGGGGAACGGGTTAGGTGGGCGGGTGGGTGGTGCCTGTTGGTTTGTTTGTTTTGTTGGGTTAGGCCCTTTCGGTCTAATGAGACCATTTCAGAGCCGGGAGGATGATAGGATATAGGGGGAGACATTGGTCTGGGCAGGCACCCTAGTGAGTCGCCGGGGCTGAGCCCGTCCAGAGGACAGGCCACCCAGCCCCAAGGCACTCACTGCACCCGGGTGCCTGTTGGAAGGGTGAGTGGAAGGTGAATGCGGCACCTATCGGAGTTGCGATGTCCCTACCAGAACTTATGATGCTCCATTGTACATTTTTCCCTGTCAATGTTGGAGAATGCCAACGTCCCTGTTTGAGAATGCAGTGGGTACCTATGATTGCACAACTCTGGCTAACTGCTCAGCCCTCGGGAGTCGAGTCAATTTGTGGATATCGGATTATAACAAAGTGTTGGTTTCCAAACGCTAACGGGAAAATGCAGATAGAAAGGCATCGTACGTCTGTCACAAAAAACAACACTGTTTTCTTGTTTGATGTGCGGGTTATATTCAAGCTAACAAAGATGTTCAAACAATAAGAAAACAAATAGGTGCATGATTCTGCAGCTTTCCACAGCTACAAATCAATACTCCAGAAATTGCCCTTCTCATAGCATGTCAAACTAAGACACTAGCGGCCGCAAACGGCGAGGCGTTAGCCGTTAGATTCCCTCTTGTAGCCGTATATAGAGCTACGGCCATCATGGTCTACGATATTTATGTTTTGAGCTTACCTGATAAATGTTAAAGGTTTTATGCAAGGCCCTATATACCGTTTTATGACAACATTTCGCAATTTAAACCCCTAATTAACACCATAATCTTGTTGACGCATCCCACACGTGGCGCGCCGCAATCGTAAACACTTTTCAAGCAGAAGTGATCTTCAGGTTATCAAGAACTTTTAGCTTATCGTGTTATCATAAATCATTTATCACTTTTCAACTGTCAAAATATTATATGTAATGTATTCTTGCATGTTGTCCTAGAATGCCAGTCTACGAATTTGTTTTTTTTTTAATCTTCACTTGTTTTTATACTGAAATACCAACTAACTATGCATGTGTTGATAGGAGATATGGACGTAGGTGGCGCCACGTTAGCTGCGTAACGGTAAGTTCAGCTGGTGGAGCCAGACCTGACCTGCCCTAAGGCCCTAAACTGACCAACGTGTTATGTAGGACCTGACCCCTTTCTGTGCAAGCAGCGGCGCCTGATTGCGACTTGTAGTAATAATTCATCCAAGAGAGAATTCTACCTAGCTAAACTTGCTCGACTCTGTCGGATAATGATACCGGCAATGCCTCCTACTGGTTTATGAGTCCCAAATAGTAGCTCCCTTTGCCCGGCCATCCCATTGTGTCCATTAGCTAGCCTCTTAGGTGGCGTATTTTATGCCCCTCGTTTTCCATCCCACATTCAACTTCATCGGCTTCCAGAGTGGATAGAGCACCACTTCATGACGTCTCAAGACCAAACGCAGCGGCCACCTTGCATATGAGTATATGTATTCCGTCTCACTACGACCAATGGTACACGGTGAGGTGTGAGGGGCTGGCGGCGGTACGACTGGTGACGTCACACCCACGGTGAGACGTGATTGGCGGACGCTGACCGTCGGCGAGGGCAGCTCTAGGAACCGACCAGGTCTGGAGTTGAAGGACCGGGTCGTTCGATAGGTAGAGCCGCGTTTTGCAGCTGCTGAAGATCCACGAAAGCGGGGAACGATACAAGAAAATGGCGACCAACAAGGGGTTGTGGGCGTGTGTATACAAGCACGCCCAGTTTCACCGTACTAATTTCACGTTGACATGTCATGATCGTCCCTAAAACGCACTCGCGCCTCCTCAGGCCATGCACATCACCTCACGTGCTCGCGTGCGACGCCGCGATCGTGCCGCCGCCAGCGGACAGTCAGGGAACTACGAGTTCAGCTAGCTGCCGCGAGGATGACAGAAAATAAAAACACGTGCTCTACAGGTGGAAAACTAATAATCGATGGCACCTGCGCGGCCCCGGACGACTCCGGGTGATGAGAGAATGGTGAAAGGAAAGAGCGCTGCGCCGGCCGGCGCCGCGACGGAAGAGGACAAAAAGACAGGCGGGAGCTCCAGCCTTCGTTAAAGCTATACCACGCAGACAGACTTCTCAATGCGCGCCACTGGCCCGATCCCGGCGGCGCGGCGGCGCGCTCAGTTCCCGCGCGCGCGCGCTCGCGCCGCTTTGGCCCTGCTCGTCGCGCCACGCTAACGCTAAATTTGTACATTCTGGGCAACCGAGCGCACACGACGGCGCGTCTTTTGATTTCTACACCAGCTTAAATAGCGTTGCCCAATGTGCGTCGCGCACCTTTTCCACGCATCATCCCCGCCGCATACTTTCACACCGCACACAGTACACACACTCGCACAAATACACACAATCCGCACACTGCCACACAACATCAGCATGATCATCACACCGCGCAAACGTTGACACTATACCGGCGCATTCAACAGGAACATTTTGCATACCTACTGTGTTATATCACAAGCAGCTTCTCGGATCCGTGGCCTCCCACCAGCGCCGGGGCGCGTTGGTCAACTATTGCACTATCCGACATGTGCCGGCAGTTGTTGCTCTGCAGGCCGTTGGCCAATCAGCGCGCCGCTAGCCGCGGCAGCGACCAATCACCGACGCCGCCTGACGTGCCGAGCCAATCAGCGCGTTCCGACGCCGCAGACGGCCAATGAGCGCTCGCCACGTGGCCGCCAGTCGATGTTTTCTCCGGACGCTGGCGCTGCGTCTGCCGGGACCTCGCGGAGCGCTGGCCAGGACCTCGACTTCCGTCGACTGAGGTTGGCCGTGGCGTTCCGGGGTTACCCGCCGGATTCCGAGCACTTTGGGACGACGTTCCCCTCCTCCAGGATAACGTTCGAACCCAGTCTGTCGCCGGACGTCGCAGGGCCATCCAAGGCTTCGTTGACCGTTTCGTCATGCCTGCGGTGGTCAAGAGATCTCCGGACGTTTTCACGCAACGTTCTTCAGGCGTCTCCGGGCGTTGACCAAGGGTCTCGTGGCACAGAGACAGAGTCTCCAGTCTTCGCTGCCTCACTTGAGGACCAGTTCTTCGCCCGGAGGCGAGTCACCAGCGGAACACTTCGGGGATTACTTCGCCCGAAGGCCCGCACTCGAAGATGTCCTCGACGAGAAACGTTCGCTTAGACATCCTCACTCGAGAGATCCCATTGTGAAGCACCCCGTGCGAGACGGAGCCTGCCGCGGCAACTCATCGAAGGTCTCCGTGCTGGAGGATCCTCCTATCGGGAACTGTACACGTTTCACCGATGAGTCCCCACCGACCAACGCAGGCTGCAAGCTCCCAGAGACGTGGCTTCTTTCACCGAGACTGCACTTCCTTCTTCCAGAGAGCCAACTTTTCGGGTTTCCCCTAGAAGAGACCAAGCTTTCCTCGAAGAGACCAAGCTTCCCCACAGAGACCAGCGTTCACTCAAGAGGCCACACGTCCCCAGAGTCCAAGGTCACATCCGAAGACATGACGCTCAGCTTGCACCACGAGATCCACCCTGGCGGCTTCACTCGAAGAGGCTGAGAATCTCCTCCGCTGTGGCGCTGCTGGAGGGCGTTCCACCGCCGGTGGGGCCCGCCTGTGAGGCCGAGCCTCCGGAGCTGGGCGGCGTGGCCAGGTCGGGAGGCTCCAGGAAGGAGAGCAGGTCCATCGGATCCACGCTGGTGTCCGGGTACAACTGTGGGGAGGAGAGAGAGAGAGAGATGTCAGGGGACTGGGATACGAATGTCAGTGGATTAGCTTGAACTACTTGAGGCGAGACAGAAGACTGGGAGACTTTGAGCATGACCAGGAGATCAATGCTGAAAATCAGATAACTGGTGGAAAACTTTATATACTTCTTAAGCAACTAACTATATTCAAACAGCTTCATATCTCTTCGACAGTCTTCGAACTTTTAGTTTCCGTCTACCATTTCCAAAATAGCAATCACTGAATATGGAGGATTAGAGTTTACGATACGAGAATATGATTCGGCGGAGGAGCAACAGAACATGATGCAATAACAACCCTTACAGCACACCAGCAACTCTCCTCTACACCGCAATCCCAAACCGCCTCCTCCCCGTCGTCTGAAACTTACATCGAGCGCCTCAGGACCGCCTTGACTGTCGCCATCGACGATCTCCGACGGGTCGAAGTTGAGCTGGCCGCTGAGGTCGGGCAGCTGGGGCTCGCTGCCGCCACCGGAGGTGGTCTGCGTTTCACCGCCCGAGCCGGCGGAGGAGGTGACCGCAGTCGGACCTGGGGGTGTACGGAGGGTCGGTCAGGGCGGGTGAGGGGTGGGTTAGTGGGGGAGTGAAGAAGAAAAAGAAAAACAAGTGCTGCGGTTGTTGGGTGAGTAGAGCGAAAGAGGGGTCACACGTGTCGAGAAACACAAAAAAAAATGCGAGAAGAAAACAGTTTCCCATTAGTTTGTATGGTTATTCTTTGTAGAAAGTTGACATTTGATAAGAAAATGTCGCAAATTATGTCGTTCAGCAGTTACTCAGAAGACCATCTGATCGGTTCCTACACAGTATCATTACATATGATTGGTCCCACCCCACACAAATCTCATCCCTGATTGGTCCCCCTCCCACCACCCTCGGCCCTGATTGGCTCACCGCTCGATGACGTCGTCGACGAGGAGGAGCTCCCGGGCGTCATGGGCGTGTGTGGCATGGTGTGACTGGCCTGACCGCCCCCCTGAGACTGTAGGCTGGAGCCGCCACTGCCGCCGCTGCCGCCGTTGTTGCTATTGTTGCCGCTATTACCGGTCATACCTCCCATCTGGAAGAAAGTGGGATTATTAGATTACTGCCACGATCTTGAGTGTGGTGAGGCTGAGGTAGGTAGTGAAACAGCTCATAAAGTTTCGCATCGATCTGGTGTTTTGCTTGAAGAGTACGCAACAAACTTGGAATGCACACACACCTGCAGTGTTTATGAAGTATAAGCTCCCAGCCTAGCATCAACATGTCAATAGCCTACGTTAAAAACGCACAAAAATGAGTTTCATTGGACTTCGATACAAAATAGCCACACATTTATTCTTTTCATACTCTGTTCTTAACTTATCATGTCTTGCACCCGCCAATGAACCAATAGGAGTTAAAACCCTATATTCGCATGTCCCCGTGTCCCTTCACTCACCGTATCCTGCATGCTCTTCTCCATGGCCGCCAGCGGGTCCAGGCTGCTGACAGACTCGCTGAGCTGGCTCAGCGCCGAGGGCTCGGACGAGTCCGGACCACCGCCGCCCCCGCCCCCGCCCGGGCCGCCCCCGCCCGGACCGCTGAATGACGAGACCGGTCCGCTCGAGGTGCCACCACCGGACGAGTAGGGCATCATCGAGCCGTTGTTTATACCTGGTGAGAGGCGGGGTGAGAGGGTGAGAGGGTGTGAGGGTCAGGGGGTAATAGAAGTGAGAGCGCATGCGACGGTTAGAAGGTAACATGGAAGAGAGGAGAGGGTAACAGGTCGGGTGACATCGGTAGGAATGAAGGAAGATGTACTGGTTGGGTCAAAAGAAAATATTTAATTAGATGGTTATTGATGCTTGGGTTATATGGCGCTAAAGAGAAAGGCTGAGGACCTTACATACGGGTACATTCAATCACGAGTGTTTCCAATTGACTGCAAACCTAATCGCGAGACATGACCGAATATGCATCGAATATGCTTTAAAAAATCAACATTTAAATTTTTACACCGTTGGGTTCGAACCCATTCCCGTCGACTCACTGGTCATATCCGGCGGGTACGGGCAGTAGGGCGACATGCTCTGCGCGCCCTCCCAGCTCGACATGGTCGGCATCTGCATAGAGGCCGGACTGATGGCCTTCAGTCGCTGCTGCTGCTGTTTGGTGCACGGACTGACCCCCCGATCACTGTCGGGCTCCTCCTGCGGGTCAGGGGTCAGATGTTAGAGGTCAGAGGTCACGGACTGACCCCCCGATCACTGTCGGGCTCCTCCTGCGGGTCAGGGGTCAGATGTTAGAGGTCAGAGGTCACGGACTGACCCCCCGGTCACTGTCGGGCTCCTCCTGCGGGTCAGAGGTCAGATGTTAGAGGTCAGAGGTCACGGACTGACCCCCCGGTCACTGTCGGGCTCCTCCTGCGGGGTCACAGGTCTGAGGTCAGAGGTTACAGGTCATAGGTCATAAACCACGGAATGACCCCTCGATCGGTCAGAAGTTACGCGCTATAGGTCAAAGGTCAGGAGGTCAGAGGTTAGGACCCACGGACTGACACCCGGTCGGAGTCCAACGTCATAACTCAGAGGTAAGAGGTCAAACGTCAAAGGTTGGGAATCATATGCAACGTCGCTGGTCATGGTCATTGGTCATCAAACGGGACAAACATAAAAATTTGTGACATTAAACTTTCAAATGCGCAAGGTCTTGTAAACATTTGTAAGGCAAATGCCGAAAATCACACAATAAGAGTGAAATGGTCAGGGCAGTGATGACGAACAAGGACAACAGAATGATCCCAATTACGCGTAAAATTAGTTCCAATATGCCACTGATTCAACTAACTACCCACTATTCGGCAAAGCCAAGACCATTCTCACGCCACAGACCCTTCTTCTTTTCCCGAATCACCCTATGCGCCCCTTTCGCTGACCTTTTTGACGGCTGTTCCGTTGCTGGCACGCCAGCTGGCCGAGGCATCAATGGTGACCTCGTCCACATCAGAGTTCTGCAAGGAGTTGAGGATACCCCAGATGTACTGGTCGACCTCCAGACCCTCCAGGGGCGCCGGCTTCCTGTAAACGGGAGAGGAAGAGGGTAGGGTTAAAAAGGGTACATGAGGTCGGGTAGGGAGAGAGCTTCTTAGGGGGAAGGGGGGGCGATGGATGGTAAAGAGGGATAGGGAGATATGGGGTTTAATGGGTCAGCGAATGAGGCGGGACACGAGAAAAAGGAGGGTATGGTACGGAATAAAGGAGGTGCAAAACTATAATGTCATAGGGTGAGATAATTAGAGTTAAGGGGTGCGATGAAATATGAAAGAGTGGGAAGCAAAAACGGTGGGTATATGGGCATAGATCAACGAGCGTATAGGGCAGGCAAAGGCACATAGCCACGGTAAATGCTCCAACAACGTCATAAAATGAGTCTATAAAACACCACCCACACCATTGGGGCAGTCCTATCCCCCTTACCCGCAGACGGGGCAACGCCAGGCGCCCCGCTCGCAGTTCAGCTGCAGGTACGACTCCAGGTCGAAACACTGCACATGCTTGCAGTCGTGACCTCGCGCCGGCAACGTGATGCGCTTGATAGTGATGGAACACTTGAGCGATATCTGAAACGGACAAAACGACAGGGAGGTTAGTAAAGATTGATCGATCTTGCTCTTGAGGGCCTACCGTGTTCAGGTCAGTGACAAAATGACGGCAAATGGTAGCGTACACATTATATGCGAAGTGCAATCGATATGCAGGAATGAGAAGGAGTAGATGTGGGTACCAGTTATTTACAGGAATGTAGCAACAAAGTAACGCATTCCAAACTAATCACAGTGCTAAGCGCTACAATAGAAAATCAACGTGAAACAATACGAGCTGATCATGATCGTCGAAAACTATTACACAAAGCCTCCCCCTCTATCCTAAGCTTTCTCAAATCCCCACATGCAATCTACCACCAATCTTCAACCATCTTCAACCACCCCTCCACCCACCTTGATGGCCGTCTGTTCCACGCCGTCTCCATCTCCCCCATTCGCCCCGCTAAGTGATGACGAGCTGAAGTTCCGTTTGATCTTGTTGATGCAGTGGTCAGCAGGAAGCAGACGCTTCCTCAGTAGGCCCTGTAGCACGCTCCGTACGCTCGGCCGGTGCACCAGTTGCAGGACGAAGAGGTGAGACTGTTGGATAAAGAACAGCAGGGTCAGAGATGACAGGGGTGTGACAAAAAAGTCAGATGAATGCAAGAAGGTTAAGAGTTTGGTGGGCTCCTGCTAGAAATATATAACTGAATCACGAAATATGTCATGCACCATGCAAGAAAGCCATGATGGGTCATGTAAGAAATAATGTCACACATGGCAGCTGAAATTATAAGATTGTGACACTTTTCTGGTAACCAATCACCTCAAACGTGTCTGAGAAGACTCACAAGGTTTTGATTCTCAAAGTGCCAATGGGGTCTGGAGTTCCCTTGCACGACCCGTACAAAACCTTACCTATCAACCTCACACTAGGTAAGCTCATAAGAGACCGGACCTCCACGACTCCCATGATAACCACGTCTGCACCGCCCATCCTCCACTCACACAGCAGCAGGCGGTGACCGTGATCTGAATGGTGTTCCTGCCGGGCTGACAGAATTCCTTCAGGTTCAGCGGCCGGTGGGTGCTCTTGTACTCGCCCCGGTCGATGTTGAGCGGGTACGCGTTGACCGAGACCTGAACTGACGCCGGCCAGTTGGTGTCCATGTTCCGGTCGTCGTGGTGGAAACACTTCAGCTGTAGCTCTAGGTCCGACCTGTACGAGGGAAATGACGTCAAAAGTGGAACATTGGCAGCTCCAAGTCCGACCTGTGTTAAACGAACGGAGGAAGGGGGAGAATGTTGTCAGAGGTGGGATCAGAGACAGCTCTTTATAGGTCCAACCGGTGTGTATGGGTGGCGGCAATTGATGTCATTGTCAAGAGTGGATCCTTGCCAGCTTGAGGTCCGGCCTTCACGTGGGAGAGGCGGGAATAATAAGTGTTAAAATAGCGGTGATGGCAGGGAATGACATGTTGGGGAGGGCGATAATGAAGTCAATATCATTGACTAGCAAACAATAATCCTGTTCCAGGTTGTAACGGGGTATCTACAATGCGGTAATTTGATCAGGCGCAAAACCATGTTAACTGTCGGCTCAGCGTTACGGTTACACTGGTGAAGAACTGAAGAGTGAAGGGCGCGTTGTGAGAAAATGTGTTCATAAGCTTCGATAGGATCGAAACTAAGCATTAAGCACTCAGCCGACCTTGTTAATTACGCGCTAACAACCGTAGTTCCGACACAAGTAATCATCTATGCATCATAATGTCTCTACCATGTGCTTTTAATGTTGTGACATGTAATTTAGGCCCATAACGTCAATTGTAGCTAAACTAAAGTCTGCACATAAATAACGCTCTCCAGGTGCAAAACTCCCGGCAAATGACTATCTGATCACAGCTGAATAACCCATTAGTCAGGTGAATCACTAGCTGAACGAACCTAACGATCAAGCAATCAGCAAAAGGCACGCAACACTCCGTTACAAGCAAACCTCACGCACAACTCTGAAATGTTCCTCGCTTACATGGTTCGAAACGAAAGTTCATTCCTCGCTTACATGAGCGGAAGTTCATTGGTCGATTGCTTGTCATTGCGAACAGACAGCTAAAACGTTTACCAATGGAGCACAAACCACCGAACCAAGCTCGCCCTTGGCCCCCATAACGCACAGTGGGCCTTCCCCAAACCCTCACAACGCACAGTGGGCCCTCAAGATGCACAGTGGACCATCCTAAAACCTCTACAGCACACAGTGGACACCCTACGATACACAGTGGACCACCCGTTTGTTTATTAGGGTTTATACGGGCGCGTCGACTGCGGTGGTCATATGCGCCCATACAGTGGACCACCCCCACCCCCCACAGCGCACAGTGGACCGTCCGGCGCCTCTCCGGGCCAACTCACCGCCACATGAGTGTCTGGTGCACAGTGGGCTTGAGCGGGAACTCGTGGTTACTGACGGCCAGGTTGTGTTCCAGCCGGAACGGTGGCAACACGATACCGTCCCGAACCGGGAACGTTAGCCGCAACTCGTCGTCTTCTGCGGGGGAGAAAAAAACGTGGGTTAGAACATAGAAGGCGGCGGTCGTACAAAGTGTCGAATTACTGTGTAGAAGAGTCGAACGGTATATTTCCTGAAGATGTTTCGGAGGTCTGCATAGTTTTGTATTAGCTACCTGTTGGGCTGAAAGTGCATTTCGGAAGTCGGAGCATCGGTTCACCCAAACGAATGACCAACAATATCTTCGCAACTGCGCGGTTAGATTAGCAAGCGTAACAGCTCTCATTATGCTTGGATAACAACACCTGTCAGTCCTGTATGCAACTTAAGCAATTGCTTCTATCTCGTTCTTCGAGTTCTTATCGCCTCCCTCTCCCTCAGAGTCATCTTGCTCGGCCCCTGTCTCGTCTAATCTCTACCGGCAGCTCCTTCGCCGTCACCTCCGCTCTCTCCTGGCCCAGTCCGGCGCGCCGACGCCACCGACGCGACGTCGCCGCCGTTTTCCAGCTAACTTTATCTAACCCCGATTGATCCGGTCGGCGCGCGCCGCCTCCACCAATGAGGCGGCCTCCCGCCACCGCGCCGGCCAATGAGACAGCCTCGCGCCACCGGACTGGAGGCGCATTACTGCACAAACCGCGCGAACCCGGCTGAAAATCCATCCACATATTCTCCGCCGCCGGGCGCGAGCAGTCGTAAATAACCTAACGCCGACGCGCAGTCGCCAATAACGGCGCCAGAACGTCGCGGTCGACGATCCGACGGAGAATTTTTCCGCGGCCGCCGCCGACGCCGATGAGAAAGAGAATGAAGTTCCACCACTGCTGGCGACAAGGGACTGGGGATGGGGTTAATACAGGACTTTCCGGGAAAGAGGCCTTTCGAACGACGTCGGAGAAAAATAAGGAACTGGATTGTAGGTAACGAATCATTGTGGATATGGTGTACCGGAAACCCAAGTCGGCAGTCTGAGGTGAGCCATTCACTGGTTAGTGGTTAGTATGCAGTTGAGGGCAGAGCCACTGGAACTTTGCGGTTCAATTCCAGGGGCGTGGGCACGAGCTGATCCCAAGACGCGAAAGGTCTTTGCACGGGCGAGCGAAGGCGTCTTAATTTATCTGCGCTGCAACGTGGCCCGGTTAAGTAAAGGTCAACCTAGCAGCGTGGAGGTTGCTCACTGCATCACTACCCCACGCAGTACCACCGGCCTCCACCCACGCTCCTCGCCCACAGGGCACCCATGAACCTCGACCTCTTCTCCTTAGGGAAGTCCCAGACTTTCTCTGAAGGATCCCTTGCCCACTACCGCCTGGACGCCAGTCTTCAACGTCCACACATTTTAGAAGGTTCGTCAGGAGAGCCATAGCACCCCACGCAGTGGCGCCAGCTGTTCAATATTGCAAACTAACCGCACGGCGAGCTCCAGCCGCTTCCGATCGAGGCTGACGTGGGCAGTCTTCTCTGAACCTCGGGGATGCATTTAGATGGCCCACTTGAGCTCAGGATGAGGACAAGGCGGTTGGACACCGCCTGCGCGTGGGGCTCTCGCGGTCTCAGGCGGTGAAACGCAGAACACATGTGCTCGATAGTCGACTCTCATGAGCATTCGCTGAAGGTTTGCCGACACCAAGAGATGGATGGAAAAGAGACATGGCATCTGGATGGTGAAGAGGCGAATGAGGAGCGTGACCTAACATGAGTTAGATGAACATTCTTGTAATTGATTAGATTCGGTCAGGCGTCGCTAACTGCCAGGACCAGCATCATCATTAGTGTTCGTAGAAATCGTAGACCACCGTTCAGTGTCATCATGGATGCTTAGCTTCCCCCAGTCCCATCCCTGACCTCTGCCACCCCTGCATCTGGCCCTAGCTGCCCCTCTCCGTCGCTACCTCCGCCGCCGCTGCCCAGACGTCCCTCCGCTCCGCCGCGTTGCTGGCAAGGCGATGAGCAAAGTTACCGAATTGTTGACTTTGTCGTCGGGCGGAGTGTAAAAATAGGGCCGTCGGCGCGCACTGGGCACGTCGGCCGCCGATCGGGCCGGCCGCGTCGACTCCGACGACACTGGCGTCGACGCCGCGTCGGCGACGACAGAAATAGGAAGGTGGCCGTCCGGGGCCTCCCAGACCGTCCGACGCTCAGGGCCTATCGTCCATAGCCCGTCCGCAGCTCATCGCCCGCCGCCCACACCGCCAACTGTCCAGGCGGTAGAGGTGGCGGTATAGCGTAGGAAGGTAGGTAGTGATCAGGCGTTGTGTGCCGCCGACGATCGGAGAATATCGCGAGAGATGATGAGAGATGCCAAGGTGGTAAAGAACGAACGGTGGGAGGGATAGAGGATGGCGAACGAAGCATAGTGTTTCACAAAGCAATGCAGGATTTATTCTGTCACGTCTATGAATAAGGTGATTCAATTCATCTAAGACCTTATTCATGTCTGAACGTTCGTCAGAATTTAATGGCGCTATCAGGTTCACATCATTGTCCCAATGTGTCATCTACACGTGGCTGGCATTGACAACCACGCTACTGCGCTGTGTGCATAGTATGCGAATATAACCCAAGATCAAAGACAAACGGCCTGGGTTCAGGGAGTCTCAGTTGCTCGATCCCGCAGGAGAGGTCAGGGGTGAACAAAGGTCACCTGTCTCCGGCGTCACCTGGCACCCTGGGGCGATCACGTGACCATTGCATACCGTCCGAGCCAATCGCAGTACAGGTGGCGAGGTACGGTTTTTGGCAAAAACGACAGTGGATCGGGAATAGGACGGTGATAAGACACTCGGTGTCGGTGGCTGGGTGAAAAGTTGATGGTTATCAACACGGAGCATTTTGTATGACGGCGGATAAAAAGGCTTTTCATCCAGAATTATTTTTACAGCGATACTATGCTATTTTAAAGAAATTGCACAAAATAAACCATCGAGCTGGAGTCAAGACAAGCATATTCGTTCGCCATCATATCCACTAAAACTACTCTAGCACCATTTGTTGGCTGTAAAACCAAATCTGCCCTTCAACCGCTACATGGTTTGACGTTTCACGCAAGCAGTCTGCACTTCATGGAAGTAGAGACGGTAGACTAGAGTAACGGCACACTAAAGGAACCCTTCCGGGTCGCAGATACAGTTCACATTCATTCCTATTATTTCTCCGCATGGAGGCGCCCCACGACTATTTGTGAGACAAATCAGCACGCGTGCCGACAGCAGAATCGCCTGAAGCCACGCTGATTTCTGGCAGCCTGCCAACTAGTCGACCAGACACGAGTGGCAGTATTTATGCAGGCTTTTATCCTTGGAACTTGGAAATCCGGTGCGATATTTCTCGGAAAAGACGCCTGTCTTTGGTAAGGCGCGTCCCATGTTTGTGAGGTGCTCCGTTTTGTCTGCGAGCTCATCGGCCAATGACAGCAGCACACAAAGAACAGCAGAAATTAATGACGGCGCTGGAGTAACTTATGTGGCACGCTTAAAAGCCAAACGACAAATCTGAACGGCTTGAAGTAGCACCGGTCTTCCAGTTAACTTTTGAGAACTCATCCATGCATCAACTGATGCGCCTCGGAACGTGCTTGAGACCTATCACGATAAGCTCTGGTATCAAAGAAATTAAATCCCAAAACTGAAATCGTCAAGACGTAAGAGCACATGTTTCGTAAGTTTCTTAAATATTGGTTAAGTTACGGTGCTTAACCTTCCTGATAAAGAAGAAGGGCTGGAGATCACAAAGGGCAAAACACTTCTTTCACCCAAGCAATTACTCACCACAATTTCGATTCTACCTTTGGTCCCTTTCCTTCCGCTTCTCTCCCCACCCTTCCCTTCCCTTCACCTCCATCCCTCCCTCTCCCTCTTTCTTCCCTTCCCTCTCCCTCTCACTCACTGGAGGAGTTCATCATCATCATGTTGGGCTTGGTGTCGGTGCCCGGACTCATGTACGGCAGGCCGGCCGCCGGAGTCAGAGGAGGTGTCGGGTTGCCAGGTATCGGCGAGTGCTGGTAGTTCATCGCGTTACCAGACATTGGCCTGAAACACGGACAGAGAAATACAGTGGTTAGTGATGAGTTTAAAGGGTTTGTCAGATTGGGAAACAATGGGTGGGGTCACGGTGCAGCCTGTAAGTTATACGGGGCGAGGGTAAGCAATAGACAGTCATGGTCCATGGAATTAACCAATAGATATTAACAAAGAGCCAAGAGGAACAAGAAATCAACCCATACACAACAAAAGCACCACCGGAAAGACACGCCTTTTAATGACGCCTCGATTACAAATACAGAATCGCAAAACAGAAGAAAAGTTTTAATGATGAATATAAAACAAATGAGTGCCTACATGACCAAAAAACAACGGTTTGACATGCCGACACACCCACCCACGCACATACACATTAATTTTATGCGGAGAACACCAAGGCCGTTCGCTCAAAGGCTTCAACGACGCGTGTCAGCCGAGATGCCAACTGGAGCTGGGGCACCGCCAAAGGGACCTCGCTCACATCAAAAATGGAACTCGAATCAACCCGACGTCAGCCTGCCGCAGAAAACTGCTCCACCAGGGGAGGGGGCGGAGGCTGAGGACGGGTGGGGGCGGGGCGGGGGTGTAGCTATTGTGTTCCTACGTGTGGAAGGGAGGAGGGGGGGGGGGTGGCTTTGAAGCCATCGGAAGCTGCGATTGTGGGCGGTGTAGTAAGTTCGATAGGTAAACGGACGAAGTGAAATCGCCCCGACAATGTGAAAAGTGCCACTTACGAGGGATCTAGCCTCTGGGTATTCTCGTGAGAGATCACCAAGGCTTAGCTGGCGTAAATGACATTACGTTCATGCATCCACAACAACCTCAACAGCTCACTTGTCTTACAGAGTCCCTTCACCGCTCGCATTCTCCTAATACTTAATTCCCGGCTGAATAATCCAATTTGCTAATACGCTCACATGATTACCGCGAGCCCCGACTGCTCGCTACCGTCCTTTCTCGCCACCATATTTGTTCCGAGCCCAAAGCGTCCACCCCTCTCCCTCCTCTCTCCTCTCTCTTCCCCGCCGGAGGTCCCCTCTCGACTCTCGCTCGGATCATCGCCCGGAAATTCGCTACCGAGTGGGAAAAGGCTCACCGCTGCAGCCGGCGAGATATCCCGACCGGTGGCGCCGCCACGCGGCCACGGCACGAATTAAGTCCCTCGGTCGACCGCCCGGCCGGCCGCGGTGGCTTCAAGGGTCACAATCATTGATAAAACCGGCGTCTGATGGCCCGTACTGTTTGCCCACGGCCGCACGCGACGCGCCGGGGTTCTGATTGCGTCACGCCGGCTCGACGAAGGAGGCAGGAGAGGGGCAGGCGGCCGGCGCTGACAGCCAAAACAGAGACAAGACGGCGAGACGCGGGTAGACTCAACAGAGGCCCTGAGACCCGGTTTGGGGATAAGACGGCGGTTGATAGAGGGCCGTGTCATGAAGCGGCCCCGTAAGGGTGACGTTCAATAAGAAAAAAATGAACAATTAACACTAACTGGCTTGAGTGTCACCAAGACAATAGATAATTGTTTGTGCAGGGCTCAATGAAAGGCACACAACAATAATCGGCTAATAATGGCATCAATTGCCACTATGATCTGTAAGCTTAATCAATAAGAGATGGAAGAGACATGAAGGAGAGGCAACGAATGAAAGCTTGTGTTACGATGGGTTCGCAACTTCGATCTCAAGCACCGAACATATCGAAACCAACTCAGTCATCCGCTCGTAACCGCCGTCTCCAGTGCTTCCTTTCTATCGGGGATTCTCTCAGCCGCCCCCAAATGGCTGCGGCACTGTGGACCCCGTTCCAAATGAAACAAAGTAACGCGTCCACCCAAGGCCCTATATAGAGCGTCCACCGATCAATGAGGCGGCGACGACGGACGTCGTGGGAGAGTTTCGTCGCAGGCGACGATATCCGACAGAGGTTCAGCGACTCTGCGGTGACCTCAAAGAGTCAGTGACTTTACCGTAAGCTCTACACAAAACGTGTATTCTCGTTTGTCTTTGAAGTCAAGCTTCAAATAACTTCATTCCAGATAACCTATCGAACTCACGTGCAAAGTTATATACGAGCCTCAGACCAATGCAATGACCTAATAAGATGACAAATTTTGATGTAGACGTGCGTCAAACGTAACGTAACCTGTGACGTAACGATACGTGTCACACAGTGAGCCTATGGCGTCATAAGCTGACATCCCATTGTGTGCAGTAGTGAAGGGACGGTTTTAATGCCACCCCTGTGCGTTCACTATCGGTTGAAGGGATGATTGCAGCTGAAGGACAAATTTCTCCGAAACTGTCCCGATGGAATGCCACTGACTCGAAGCCGACTGCTATTGTCTGGTGTACCTGGGAGAGAATCAATTACATTAACCAGGTTTTCCTGTATTCCGACGAAAGCTGCATGTCCCGCAAGGCCTCGAGAGAAGAAAAAACTGGTGATGAATGAAGCCATTCGCCGAATCTCCCGATGAAAGTAAGACTGCACCATCCCTTCTGCCGAGAGACTTACGACGAACAGCTGTTTCGATGAACCCGTGGTATTGCTTTCCATCATTTATTTCACACTATCAACACCCCGGGATTCGGATTGGGTGCACCAAAGGATTGTGCCGGAGGTTTCTACCTACACTACACGGTCTTCCTGTAAAATGTGGCAGCCCATATCTGTTAATCTAATCACCAGCGACCAGCCTAACAGCCTGTCAGCCTGTAATTGTCCTCTGATACCGTCTGAAAGCGATAACTATTCCGATGAAATAGCAATACTAACAACTACACCAGTTGCGACCCGTTTGTATCGACTGAACAAACCAGCGCCGCAAGTCAACACATTCAGAAATGAAGCGTAATGAACGCCAAATCAACGTCATCACTGCCATGATGACGTCATCAGAGGCTAAACAGCGCTGTCTTATGAGATGCGAGAGGTGCCATATGGCAGCAGACACCCAGTGCTGCCAGACTACCGTCGGTCGGAATAGAGGCCGCGTGTTGATGTTCCCAAACCGTTCACTGCTAGGAATGCGCAGCTGACAACAGAGCCGAAAACGAGGAGAGAGGGCGAGGGAAGAGAAAGAGGCCGAACAAAGACACACCGATCGGGACAACAGGCGCGTGGAAAGCAACAGGGGAGGGCGGAACGTAGCCGGGGACGCTGCACCCAGGGAGGGTGAGAGCGTGGCGAAGGGGAACGGGATACAGTCGCGCACACAAAAAGATGACCTTCCGAGGGCCCGCCGCGACGCGCAGTCGGTTGGCAAGCAGTGCCAAAGTCGGTTTTATGAGCGGGCCAGGGCGTGCCAAATTTGTTGTCAACCGGTAGGGGTTTACATAACTTCAGTGGTTTGATTCGGCGCCGGGAATTTTTCTTAGTCGGAGACGCCTGGACACTCCAAAGTAGAGGTGGCAAAAGATGAAAATTTTGGGAACCAGACTCGAACCAGACCCGGCTGGACATTTCTGGAACCAGTCGGACCCGGTCTTAGTTGGAATCGGAACCATTTGGACCCGTTCCCCAAAAGTCAATTAATACAAACTACTTGTAGGTGTCATTAGTTGCATCTTGTAAAACAGCCTATTTCCCACTGGGAATACCCATGAGCTACTGTGTGCAAAGAAACATTCACTTCATGCACTTCATATTTTGCAATAATGTGTAGTGTCCAAGATGTATAGTTTATGGTAGGACCCGGTTGGACCCGTCATAAAATTTCCAGGAACCGGTCTGGACCCATATGGGTCCAGACTGGTTCTTTGGACCGGGTCCTCGGGTCCACATTTTGCCACCTCTACTCCAAAGATACTTGCATACGGCAAATTTGACACCAATGTCGTCTGAACGATCAGATAAAGGTAAACAGAAATTCGCAACATCTCTGGCCTTTCTTCTACTACGCATGACACTCCCGTTCATCGTAGCGCTTTCCTTTCCTTCGCCCTTCGCCATTCTTCGTCCTCTCCTTCATACCTCGTGCCTTCTGTTTCCCTTCACCACCCCACTCTCCCGCCCCCCTCGCCGGCCTGCCTGGCGCCGCCGCTGCGCACCGGCCCGGGCGTCTGCCCTGCGGCTGTCCGCGGTCGATCTGGCACTCATCTGGCAGCGCGTCCGTGACGTCACGCCGGCCGGCTGACTCAGGCGCCAGACCGACGCCGACGAGGGCGACACGGCCGCCGCCATCTGGCACAAATCTGGCAACTGACGGTGCGCCGGCCGGCGGGAGGGGGTGCCGCAAATAGCGCACGTGCTGCCGCTGACTAACTGAGCATATCGGTCAGGTGTGATAAGTCAGGAGAGTTGAGCTGTTTGATAAATATCACCGGAGCCCATGTGAGTGACATGTCGGCTGCGCACATAATTGGGCCACTCAGCGGAGGAGAGTCGTTGGCACGCTTGAAGAACGCCCCTCTCCCCATCCCCCTCTCGTTAAACATCCCCCGTCACCACTATCACGAACAAGGTGCCCACACCTGACGACATATGTCAGACCCGGCCGGGACAGGACGATCCTCACACATTGACAAACGACTTCACAGGTGAGCGAGTCACCTGTTGCTGACTTTGTTGCCGTACAAGCCTACCCACTGCAACCCGTGGCTGCCACCAGCGCGGCCATTCATCTTATGATGGATGAGGGCGATTACGCTGCCAAACAAACAATGCACCGCCACTACTGAATTACTCGGCTGCCATTCGTAAGTCGGCGCCGATGACATTTGTCCTGTCAAAGCTACCCATGAATGATACAGCCGAATAACAAAGGCCATGCAAAGGGTGTCACTTGGTCCTATAGGCGTCTAAGAATCAATCCATCCTACGATTCACTAACCAAGCCTCAAGGGTCTCTCCTGACTAACACTTAGCACGAGATCTTCTAAGCCTCTTAACTATTCCCCGACCATCGGTAGCTACCCCGTGTGACCGTGACAACACCTGTGTTATCTTGGTGACACCGTGTGTCATCGTATCTCAGTCAGCTCGTTTCGGCTGACACCACAAGCTGTCAGGGTGACAAGCAGCTGACGGATTGCGTGGACTGTCACTCAAGCTGTCAGTGACAGCGTGACCTCAACATCTTTCAGCGACCGCTCAACTCAGGCGGCCTTTTCAAGGCAGCAGTTTTTGCCGTGTAAGTTTACCTCGGCGAGAAAACTCTTCAAAGAGCACACGCACGCATGAAGATAAATGTTTTGTTACGCTACGCTACGCATTGTTTTGAGATGCGATTGGACGTCGACTCAGCCTCTCGACAAAACGCCGGCTAGGGTAGACATGCACCATCGCTCATCTATAGCGCGCCAAATTTGTCACAAGGGGCGAGGTTTAGCGCGCGGAGGCGGGCAGACAACGTGCACGGCATTCTCGCGTCGCGCCGCGCCCAGACTCGACCCCCCCCCCCCCCCACTGCCCCAGACGGGGAAGCGACAGTGAGACAGATATAGCACATGAGACAAACTGGAGAAGGGTGTGGAACAGGAGGAAATTTAGGGGAGCGGTTACAGGAAAAGTAAACACGCCTACAGAGACTAGGAATGCAGATAGTGAGCACTAGGAAATGAAACAAACAAATAACGAAAGCGACTCAGTTCATTTATGACAGCCTCGACGCACCACGAAAAAGGTTAACGAGTAATAGGTAACTCTGCAGGATGAAAAAAGTCCTTAGCGAATATATTAACCGGTAATGGATAGCCTAAATCGGACGAATACCAAGACACGGACCAACAACAACGAACCCTTGACAACCACCCCTGGGTCAACGTCCGGCGGCGACCCTGGCCGTCCAGCTCGGCCGTCCAGTCTCGCTGCCAAATCCTCACGGGCCGGACGCATGGGTCAACACTCCGTGAGGAGGTGCCAACCGACACGGCGCGGTGGCTGGCCGGCGCCAGCCGGCAACATTCCCCAACCGGCCCGCAACGGTTCGACGGAACCGCTGGCAGCGCGCTCTCATGGCACTGCTAGCGTCGAAAACGACGACGACGACGGCAGCGGCGGCGGCGGCGGCGGCGGCGGCGGCGTTGGTGGTGGTGGTGGGGAGGGTTAAAGTCGACGGCGACGAGGGCGTCGACGGCACCGGCGGCGGTGGTCGCCTGTCGGCGCTGGCAGAGGGTGACAACTGGCTGTTGCCGCCTGCCAGACGCTTAACACGTCGGATAAGTTGGTGGTATGGGGGGACGAGGGTAAAACTAAGGCGAGACGAGGCGAAAGAGAATGGTCTGATAGGCGAGTGACCAGACAATTTAGAGCCCGAGGCATAATCGCACACAATACGACAAATGCGAGAGTGGACAGGAAAATGTAGGTAGCTTTAGCCGACAAGATGTTATCATTGAACGGAGATAGCGCAAAACTGGCACGGATGCGACAACAAGTTCCTGTATCTGTACAGTCTGCTCGTCTCCAATATATTCGGATATCTCAGAATAATAATGCTTCGAGTGTCAATACCGACAGTTGACTCATGACTCAGTTCCGTCCCGAGGCAGCCGACTCTCTACTCTCTCCCCGACTCAGGCCGCTGACTCAGACTCCCACTCTGCCTGAGTCTCCCGGAATAACCGTCTCCGTCGGCTCGCCGAGCCAGCAGACAGCCATTCACATTCCCGTCGACGGTTAACGACGATCGACGAACACTGCGCTGTCGACAACGACCAGCCAGTGTCGAAATCGACGGGGGCGGAGGTCGCGGAACTTCCTTTGAAGTGAGCGGCTGGAGCTATGCGCGCGAGGGAAAGCGATGTTGAACTAGGATGAGGTTATGTTTGAAAGAGACTTCGAGCTTGCCTTGGTGACTGCATGAATTCTGGAATGATTATAATAAAAGCAGACGCCGCGGTGGTTTGGATCTAACTCAGACCAGGTTCGTAGAACCATGAGCATGGCGTTATATAAAGGTTGATGCTGAAAATAGCGTCGGTCATACATAACGCAAAAGAGAGCAGCAAGTCACATGAACCATCACCCGCATATAAGAAGCTAAGAAGCTTTCAGAAGCCTTCACTGACCTGGGGATGCCTTGTTGGCCCTGCTGCTGCTGCGGCGGTTGCTGCGGCTGCTGCTGTTGTTGCTGTTGCTGCTGCTGCTGTTGCTGCTGCATGTTGCCTGCGGCTCCGGGCATCGCTCCGGCTGGGTTCATGCCTCCCATTCCGGTCATCCCCGCCCCCGCGGGCATCTGACCCATGGTGCCGTTGTTCATGACCCCTCCGGTCATCTGTGGCGTCATCGCGCCTCCAGCGCCCTCCATGTTGCCATAGAAGTTGCCGCCGTTGCCGGAGTACTGGTTGCCGTTCCCGGAGTATTGGTTGCCGTTGCCGTAGGGCATTTGGCCGCCCATGGGGCCGCCGTAGGGAGAGGCTGGCCTCATGCCTGGTCGGAGGCCGCCCTGTGAAGAGGGGTACACGTCGAGTGAGAACTGAGAACCGAGTGAGATGACATACAAAAAACAACAAGGTTTTGCAGGGCTCAGTTATCGTCGTTATCGTGCGATAGCCGTGAAGCAGTTTGTCGACCGAATGAACAAGAAAATATATCTTCTTCGTGTCCTGTTATCCCCGCACCCGATTTAACTTCCTCCAATCGCGTGACCTTTTCCCGATGGGCCAGCACTGGGCACTTCCGGTCGGGGGGGCGGCTATCGGACCCCGCACTTCCGGTTCACGGTCGAACGTCGATAGCGGAGACGGTCGCGCAATCTGGAGCCACCCGAGACGGCTCTGCGTGCGTGGGAGTGCTAGTGAGGTCTGCTGAGTCATTCCTATTGTGGCTCCATCGTGTCAATATGAAAGTACGATCGACCGCGTACGCGTGACGTCGGACGCGCTCCAAGTTATCTCTCGATATCATTTAAACATCCTGTTTTAGGGTCGTTTATCTGTGAGAGCTATCTAATCTACGAGCTATCTAACTAGGTCATTGAAAGGTCTTTCGACTAGGCAGCTTTGACTCTCTGTTTACTGCGAAGAAAAGTACCTATTTAAAATGAAATGAGTTGACCAGGAAGGGCGCCACATCTCGATAACGGAAACACGCCACAGAAGTACCGCGAAACAAACGCAATAAGCCGACTCTATTCTCTGACATCCCTGGAGGTTTCTGGTGCGGTAAACATCCCAGTGACGTCACAGCTCCACCAGTGACGTCATCGGAGGTCCGCCGACGCGTTTCCCGGGCTAAAGGCAAGGAGGCGAGGAGTTCACGATTGGGTCGGCTACACAAAGATGACGGATATAGGTACCGGATATAGTCGCAAGGCGGGTCGCTGTTAACAAACAGATTCGGGAGACGAGGAATACTCATACTAGTCAAACAATAGGAAAAAAGGTTCCGCAAGTGGGCAATGTTTAGCTACGCTAATATAGGCAAACGCAAGGTACTTCATATAAATTCCTCTTCCCCATTCCGTTAAGTAGGAAGTTCCTTGAAATCACCAATTTTCAAGAGAAACAAATGATCGGTCATCGCAAGAAGCATCCGCTTAGCTGTCCCCGCCTTCTTTGACGTAGCTGGTTGATCAGCTGAGGTCAGTGGCTTCCTCTCAGCTCTACCCCTCCTCCTACTGCGGTCACTCCTTTTCTCTACCTTCCCTCCCCTCTCCCCCACAGCTCGAGTGACCGCGGCGGACGACCACCGCCCGCCCGCTGCGCCGCTGCACGTCTCTGCCACATCACCACACGTCACCAGTGCGCCGGTGCACGCCGCGACGGCGCCATATTTCGCCGCACTGAGCACCGGGATGGCCCGCTGGCCTCACAGGGGGTCGGGGTCGGGTTCGGGTGCACGGTGCATCACTGCAACACTGCAGAGGTCCACCGGGGCCGGGCGGTGGCTCAAACTGGCTCTAGCCAGAGAGGCAGAGGCCGGGAGGAGTGTGCAGAGGAGACGCACAGCGAGGGTCACCGGACGCACAATGTGCGTAACTGACGGCTCCGCCCTACAGCGTAGGATCTATGGCTACCGGGTAAGGGAAAGCGGTGGCAGTGGATGGAGAGGAAAGAGGAGGGACTGCAGGTTACCAGAGGTCACCGGCTGGGGCTGGATATAGTGGTGTTTGGTCTGACCTTCCCAATCCAATTCTATCAACTTTTCTTACCTGGTTGGAACAAAATTTGCCATATCGTTACTAGAACTTTTTGCCAACAGTGTCACGTTTCTTACTTGGTTGGGAGGGAATTGTGAGGGAAGTGGCTTTTCTACGGGGTTGTTACGAACGGACGCCCATTTAGACCTTTTTAACGCAGCTCTATCCTTGTTTCTTACCTGGTTGGGAGGGAACTGCGAGGGTAGCGGCTGCTGCACGGGGTACTGGCCGTACTGGTTCGCAGCGCCCCTCTGAGCCATCTGGGGGTGCGCCGCTCCGTACTGCGCTCCGCCGTACTGAAACAGGGCGGTACAGAGCCGTCAACACCGGGCGGAAGGGGAGCGGGAAATGGCGAGAACGTGCTGTAAAGTAGGTACGCTTTTTAGAGTGAGCAACTGATTAAGACCAATAAGTGACATCAATTCAAACTGGAGCATATATGTAAAGCTATCAATGAGAAAAAGTAATAAAAATGCGAAATTCGGTATCGAGACAAGAGCCTGGGTGTAGGTATGACTAATATGGCAGAAAACGAGTTTATGCAACATAGTGCTCCTTTGCTCATTCGTGTTTACAAAATGCAGTACAACCATCGATAATGTCACAACCACTGACAACTTTATCCATGTATTGTCAACTTTGTTGTAGTGTGAACAAACAGCTCAATTTACCAACCAATCCAACCCCATTTCCTATCCAATATTCTCGCTCACAGTTTTCCCCTTCTCCCGTCCTCCACCTCTCCCCTTCCCGGTATATTCTCCGTCGCCGCCGTTGTTTTATCCCATCGCGTCGCTCCGGGCCGCGCCGCGCCTACAGATCGTTGATAAATCGCGTCAGGCCCGGCGGCGCGTCGTATTTTATACCGACTTAACAGGCGCCCGCCGTCACCAGGATTTCCCGTCGACGTCGACGCCGACGACGCGTCGTTTGCGACGAGGGGTGGTTCATAACGCTGGATCGACTGGTTTACAGACTTTGCATATGTGTTTGAGTGTGTTATACGGGCAATGTGGAAAACATTTGAGTGCATATGCAACAAGTGGCGGTCGTTTGCAAGACATAACACTCCGCATGGTTCCAAATGTTGGGGAGACTGAATTCTGTCGCTTGCACCATATTGGCAAGTCGTAAATTTTATTATGCTTTACTGAACTCTCCATTTTCGGGACCCAGCGTCACGGAATAACACTTGCTCATTCTGTTTTCGCCCTCGGGTACTCTGCATCAAGGCACCTTCCTCCACCGCCTCTCTCTCTCTCTTCTCTCTCTCTCTCTCTCTCTCTCTCTCTCTCTCTCTCTCTCTCTCTCTCTCTCTCTCTCTCTCTCTCTCTCTCTCTCTCTCTCTCTCTCTCTCTCTCCCTATCTCTCTCTCCTCTCCTCGCACCACCATTGCTCCTGAATCTCATGCATAAATTAGCCGCCGGGCGCAACCAGAGCTGTGTTTGAGACTGTACCAGCCGACGATCGACCGTCCTCTGTTGGAGGCTGTACCGACCATGTCGTCACTCGGTCCGGTAACTATCATCCGGGCAAGGAACTTGACTCCTCAGCATTTATCAGCAAAATGACAATAGTTCTCACAGACGTAACTGAGTTTCTGATAAAAACTCATCATCCGATCCCACAATTTTTCACCTATTTGGCCATAAACCACGTAAGTGCCATCATCATTCATCATCCTTTGCTCTAACCCCCCCCCCCCAATTTTCACACCTAGCTCCGCCCCTGCTCTGTGGAGACAGGTTGACCCCTTTGCACCCTCTGAGATACCACGGGCAGCGTGGCGTCACCCCTGGCGGCGGCCTCTCTCTGCCAATCGACCCGTGGCCCCCGAGGCAATGAAGAGCACACCCGTGGCGGCGACAGCAGAGCGGACGGATTTCACGCCCGACCGCCCGGCCGTGAGACGGGGTTGGTAAGCGGCTGATCTATACACTCGGAAAGGTCGACATAAGTGATGTTTATGAGCTCAAATTGATAAGTGTACAGCCAACGGCGTACCAATGCAAACAGTCGCTCTTCTCCCGCAACAATTGTCTCCGTAAATGCATTACTGACACGGCTTTTACCTACGTCAACGCCTGCAGTTGTTGCATCTTTTTAAATGTTTGTCTGACATGTTTTAAATTCCACTATTTCTTACAAAGTTACACCTTCTAGGCCTCCAAAACATCATCAAGCGCCCAATCACCATTGTTTTGTTTTCTAGCGTGTCATGCTCCCAAGGAATTCGTTTCTCTTCTCGGAGCCCGGCGTTTCCCTCTCCTCACCAGTCACCCAGCTTTCTCTGTTCCCTTTCTGTTCTCCTTCTGTTCCCCCTTTTATTCTCACCTGTGCGGGCATTGCGCCGGGGAACTGCCCTGCCCTCTTCTGTGCCATATGCATAGCTGGACTCGGGTATGGCGCCGCCCGTCCGCCCATCATACTCGGGTTCATACCGCGCACATACATCCCGTTAGGGATCATCCCCTGCTGTGGGCGAAGGGGGAGGGGCGAGTGTCAGGGTGGGGTACGGGGTGGGTGGGGTGTTGTGTGGGGACAAATGGCGGCAAGAGGAGGTAAGAGCGGAGTGGGTTAACTTGGCCCAGGTAGTGAAGAAGCGACTTATTGAATGGTTGCTGGAATGAACGAACAAACGAACGAACGAATGAATGAATGAATGAATGAATAAATGAATGAATGAACGAATGAATGAATGAATGAATGAATGACTAAAAAATATGTTAACTGCTATCGACTCCTTGTTTACTCTTCGGTAACGATTCCTTCAATTGCGTTTCCGGAACTAAATTTTCAAAAGCTTCCAATAGGTACTAGCCCGCGCCCTGGTGGGGTCTGTTTATAACGCGACCTGGTGGGGGGGGGGGCTATTTTTTGCCCCCCCTCGTATCTCCAAAACCACTGGACGGATCCTCAAAATTCAAACGGCGTTCGAAAGGCCTGTCAAATTTGTTGAGGGAAACCAAATTTCATTGACCTCGGGGTCACCGATGACGTCACAGGTCAGGTCAAAGATGACATGTTTCACCGTTCACGGGTCATATAGGGAATGCGCTATAACACCGAAAAAAACGCATTTTGTCGAGAATCAGCGATAGGGCGTCAGTTGCCTAGTAGATATGTTGCTATTAGAGGTCACTGACAAAACCAGGTCAGGCACCAGGTCAGGTCACCAAGGGTCACAGGTCAGGTCACATGAGCCCAACTTTACTAAGGTTGTGTGATGCATGTTTTATGGCCAATTTTTCATTTCCAACTCAATGATGTTGGTTATAAGACTATCAGGTATGGCTTAGGCCACTTTCTGGTGAAGTTCAGGTCAAGGTCAGGTCAAGGTCAGGCCAAAAAAGGTCAAATTTTAAAGTTGATAGTTTTGCATAAAATGGGTATTGTTTCGATGCAGCTCGTCACGGGGAGTCTAATGGTGGTCTTTGTTTTGCGCTACGGGGTCTAGAATTGCTAAAAATTGAGTTTGAAAATTTGACGTCATCAATTTTGAACAGTTTTTTCGCTGTAACTTCGCCAAAAAAAAGAGGTATCAATCTCAAATTTGGTATGTGGATGGAAGGCGGTAAGGACTATCACATATATTCCGGTTTTTGCGAAATTCAAAAAACTTTTTGGATTTTTCGATGATTATATCCAAAAAAAATTATTTTTTGATTTTTGGGGGTCAAAATCAAAAAATTCCAAAAATCCGAGATAGCAGTTTTGTAGCCCTGTCAATTCTACAGCTTTTATGTCTTTATCATTTTTCTGTATTTGCAAAGCTATAGGCCTGACAGCTCTTCCCGCGAAACCCTTTTTTGGGTCGAAAACGGCAGAACATGACGTCACTCTGACGTCATTTCCGGCCAACCTATCATAGCTTTTGGAAAAAAAAAATTAGTCACAATGTGTAAAATTGATGTCCGGGAGGGTACTGAAAGTTTGGTGACGATCGGCGCAGCGGTTCTGGAGATATATCGAAAAGTCTAGAGGGGGGCAAAAAATAGCCCCCCCCCCCCACCAGGTCGCGGGCTAATATGCAGCTAAAGATTGGGTAAAGGACATAGGCTGGCAATGGATGAAGGAAAAGCAAACACACACAAACACGACACTAAGCAGTGCTGGACAGTGGACACACGGTAACAGGACTTGTAGTAACGATCACACTGTTATTTACATAATCACGGCTTTACATTCAACTAAAAAGTATTGACATCACACTGGACAATGTCAAGAACAACGTAAATCCCTAGGAAAACTCTTCTATGAGGTCGTTGTAAGCTAAGCCCGTGAAACTAAAGCATTTAGGTTGCGAGCATTTTCGGGACCAAGCCAAACTCTGGACTTATTTTACAAAGACACAGGATAAAAATAAAAGACCGGAATTCATGTTTGCTTCATCAAAGCTGGTTAGAAATATGAGCAAGTCTACGTGGAATGTGGATGTTTGTATGGGTATGGACATTGTCGAACAGCTAAATTACCTAGTTACCACAGGGATCACGCGGCTACCTTTCCTAAGGAGCACAGGGTCACACAGCTCCCACTCACGGACTGGAGAAACACAGACTGACAGACAACAGTCTGGAAAAAAAACGGACAGCCATGAACAGGATCAGAATCAACTCAAAGCAACGTCATTTCACAGATTGGTAATTTAACTGGATAAATAGTACTCACTAAGTTAACGGAATAGGGGAGGAGTAAAAAAAAAACAATAAGAGAAAGTTGATGTCAAACTGGTAACAATCATCTTTTGTTTTTATTCCTTATACATTTGTTAAAATCAACGGATGCAGCTTATGAGAGCCTTGACCTTTCAGTGCATTTTATAATACACTAAGATGCATATCCATATTAAGTAGGAATAACGATACATTTATTGTGTTTAAATTGCTATTTTTGGTGATAGACGATACCAGTACAATTTCAGCCCCGGTCCTTAGAGCTCCCGATAGAATAACAGGAGCCAAGTGTACATACCCCTTCCCTCCTACAATCCCTAGCGCTGACCACACTCAGACACCCCGCCAGTTTGGTTTATTTTGTTTACACCCATGGCGCCGGTCTGGCGTCAGGGGCACCAAACTGCGCGTGATCGGGTCAAACAAACGTCAACACTTTGGGGTGCCCCGGCGCCGCGCTGGCGCGCCGTGGTCGCCGGTGACACCGCAGTGTGTCACGACGTGTCAGTCGCGTCACGGTGGTGACATGGTGTGATGACGTCATTGTGACGTTAGAAGAGGGTGTCCCTGGTTAGATCTGGGAAAGCCGTGGGAAGGCAGAGTAAGATGGCCGAATATGGGAATGTTTTTAGACTATTAATTCTGTAGAAGTAGGTATAGTTCGTTTTTCTTAAGTTTGCCCCTCACTGTAAACGTCTTTTTGAACACAGCACGAGAATTGCTAGCTGAATTACTGAGAAAACTGGTTGGCGCACATTGATTTCACCAGATTTCACAGACGATCAATTTTACCAAATTCGTTTACTATTTCACAGACTCATAGCTCGTATTTACCCATACCTACAGCTCCACAGTGATAGACGACTTCTCATGAATTATGTCTGAAGTAATTAATAAATTGCACGGCGTTTAACATTAACGTTACATCGTCGGTGTTCAAAACTTATTTTGAAAATATTATTCATATCTCCAATACAATGTGCGCCAACCAGTTTTCTCAGCAATTCAGCTAGCAATTCTCGTGCTGTGTTCAAAAAGACGTTTACAGTGAGGGGCAAACTTAAGAAAAACGAACTATAATTATTGATCTAAGCGCCATTGAGTCAACGTACTGAAGTGAAACCCTGGAACACGTCCTATTATGACAGGATAGGATAGTTAGGATTCCATTGAAACACGGTGTCCCGCCCATAATGCCACGTGCTGTTGCTATTTCTCACCTGCATTTGCATGCCCATCTTGCCTTGCATGCCCTGGCCCATGGGTCCGGGACCCATGCCGTTCATGGGGCCCGGACCCATGCTGGTCATGGGCCCCATCGGTCCCATGCTGTTCATTCCGTTCATGCTGTTCATGCTGTTCATGTTCATCATGTTCTGGTTCACCATGGGCCGCTGAACGTCGCCGAATTGGCCGCCGTAGTTCGGCATCTGGCCACCCATCTGCCGGAGAAGGAAACACAATAATTAGTCACACGGGCTTCAGGGAAATTGGAGAAAAACGAAACCGGTAGAACACAACGAAATAAAAACGTCCGCTTGTGAATGACAAACGCAAGTCAACTATATGCATACGCAACATATGAGGTAAAGGCTGCATTTTCTTTTTCACAAATGACGTCGACTTATTGATGCACAGCAGGGATAATATATTTTACTCGTCTATTTTGAGCAATCAATCTCAAACACAGCTGGCATCAAACGACGATCATTTGGGTTCGGGGTACCGTGCTCGATACCGGCCATCGCCATTTAAAACAGACATCGGATGTCATAAACGAACATCTGTCTGCCCCAACTCCCCGCTTCTGGCACATGCCAATCAAGCCCTCCTACTCCAACCCGCACATACGGCACGTGATCCTCAGCTGCACTGCCACACGTATATCGATCACGTGCTTCGCTCACGTGCCTTTCGTATGCTCCCTTTCCCTCCCTCAGATTACTCGGGTATGGATTCGCGACCATTTGTGTGGCTTTGGTCTAGCGAATTTCTACGTCGATTACACCGGTATTTGAAGAACAGCATGGCTGCTAAAACAGCTGTGGTATGTGTGGCCTCCAACCCTTAAATATCAGCTTTTCCTGGTTTAACGAAGAGCGAATCTCAGACACTGTTACCGAGCTTAGCAGTGTGCTGGGTGCGTGACATTGAGCTGGAGAAGGTACAAGTGACCCCGGTCACCGACCGCTAAGACGGAGAAGCTCTTCACTGACAACACGCGTGAAAATCCCATCCGGTAAAACATCCCCAAAATGGTCCGAAATCTCCGCACGCAGGGTGTGGCGAGCCTTACGACCTCAACGAAGAATCAGTGCGGGATCCACGCGGATATCTCGGACAGTCAGGCGTGTCTCGCCGGACGACCCAACACGGCTGTTAATCTGTGTGAAGGAGGTGCCTGTCGACAATTAACTCGCGTCCCGCACGTGCGTGTCAGTGCGTGAGCTGCGTAGACGCTCTGCAGAGGAGCGTTGCGCCCGGCGTGCGGGGAATGTTCTGCAAACGCGTCCAGTTGTTTATGAGCTGTCCAGAGGGCAGTGAGTCAGGCTCCGGCGGTGAAAAATATTGGGCCGGTGTGTTGACACACCAGCTCTGGAAAACATTCGGCGGACCGCGGCAGCACATTAGCACGTGATCAATGTCAATCAACTGGCCGAAATCACGACAGGGAACTGCGGTGAAGAAGGCAATCAGCGCTGCCTGGATTCACTAGCTAACGATGTTTCCCATTCCAGATTCCATCGGTCGGTGAAAAGCCAGACCGACTAATTTGTTATTGAAAATGCAGCAGCTAGTTCGGCGGATCTCCCCCCCCCCCCCGTCAGGGCCCTTCCACATCCCAACAAATTTTCGTTGCTGTGCCAGACCATAATCCAAAGCTTCTGATCTTTCAATCACATCAGTCAACCATTGACCCATGATAGCCATGGTTATCCCAATCTCTTGTGTAAGTGGGATGGCTCGGCAGCCCGTTCCTCTCGTCTCTTAGCAGCCCCTTACCGTATTTCGTCCATGTCCTATTGCTCCCGTTCAGTGACCTACCCGCGTCCGGTGCTCTCTCCCAAGTCCATCCCATCCCGCACCGTTAGCTCTGTGGTTCGTGCCGGACGATGATAGTGGACCATTCCCTCCCCCTCTCCCTCCCTCCCTCCGTCCCTCTCCCCAGCCCGCTACCCCGGCAGAGGTCACAAAGGTGACCCGAGCGGACACAAACAACGGATACTGGTCGACCGAGGGAGGCGGCCCGCCGACGGCCAACAAATGAGCCACGCTGCCAGCCAACCGGTGGAGAAATATGTGGACACTGCGGGGTGAGAAGTGGATTGGGGACTGTGATACTTTTAGGTCGAAAAGTATACCAAAGAGGAACCAGGAATTTGAATTATTTTGGCAATCCCACGCCGTGTTTCAATATATACCTAGAGCATCAAATAATATAGGTAATAAATAGATAGTTGAAACCGCATTCCGATAACTAGAAATATATCCAGAAGCGCGTAAGAGCCTAGATGAGACTAAATCAATATCACTTCAACCTCAAAGACTAAATCAATATCACTTCAACCTCAAAGACGTCATTTATCCGTTCAGTGACGTCAGATGTCTATTTTCATTCCCCGAACATCCGCCCTTTGTCTCACACAAACGTCATAAGAGAATAAGTGATTCTTATTATATTTATCTCCAGTTGTGGCCCGATGGCTATAAAAAGGGTCGGTATTTCTACCACAGATTTGTTCCGAGAGAACTTGGCCACGAGCTATGGAACGTTACATAATACGAATTTCGATACACGAAAGCTCTGATGGGTTACATCAGTCATCTCAAACTGGTTCGGGAATAGGTGCACGCATTATTCATACCTTAGCTCCCCCTTGAAAGGCAATGCTATATTATACATGATAGCTCTATCTACTATACTATAGTTCGTTTTTTTAAAGTTTGCCCCTCACTGTAAACGTCTTTTTGAACATAGCACGAGAATTGCTAGCTGAATTACTGAGAAAACTGGTTGGCGCACACTGATATAACCAGATTTCACAGACGATCAATTTCATCAAATTTATTTACTATTTCACAGACTCGTAAATCGTATCTGCTAATACCTACAGCCCCACAGGGATAGACGACTTATCAGGAATTATGTCTGAACTAATAAATAAATTGCACGGCGCTTAACATAACGTTAAATCGTCGATGTTCAAAACTTATTTTTGAAAATATTATTCATATCTACAATACAATGTGCGCTAACCAGTTTTCTCAGTAATTCAGCTAGCAATTCTCGTGCTGTGTTCAAAGAGACGTTTACAGTGAGGGGCAAACTTAAGAAAAACGGACTATATTTGTAGAATGAAACTCTGTCTGTCTGTCTGTTTGCACCGTGCAGAGGGGTGCTTTGACGCCGTGCACAGGCCAGACGGTGCGGTCGAGGGAGCTGAAATTTTCGCAGGGTGCTGATGACGTCACGGGCACGTGCAGTGTCGTGTTTCGGGTCTCGGGGGGTGGATGGTTCGCACGTGGCACGCCCTGGAAAAGTGCGTATTTCCTCTCAAATTTGCTCAGTCTTCAAGGCATCGGCAGCCGGGTTTGATGGACTTTGCAACTAAAATGCATGACGATCGGCGGCGGGTGCCTCTCATTTCCGGATTGGCAGCTTATTTATTTTGATAAACAGATGCGAATGAAGGTGTTTATTTTCGTTGAATGGGGTCAGTTTTAAATGCGCTAACACAAATGCACCGGGTTTGCCGCAATGCGCCACATTTGTCGAAATGCGCCATTTTTTGCCGGAAATTGCACAACTTTGTCAAATATGGTCCGATAAAGGTGCAATTCGGTGAAAGGATGCATGACAAAAGGACAGGCACAAATGCGCCACTTTTGTCGCAATGCGCCACATTTGTCTCAAAGCGCCATTTTTACCAAATACGGTAAAGAATAATGGAGTGACACGTGTAGGAGCAGTTTTAAGAACTCTTTTTTAGTTTATCAGTTTATCTGCAATAGTCTGACCTCACATGACCCAGTGGTTGTGGTAGGTGTAGTGGTAGTGGTAGTGGTAGTGGTAGTGGTAGTGGTAGGAGTAGCGGTAGGGGTAGTGGTAGCAGTAGGGGTAGTGGTAGGGGTAGTAGTAGGGGTAGTGGTAGGGGTAGTGGTAGGGGTAGTAGTAGGGGTATTAGTAGGGTAGTGGTAGATGTAGTGGTAGTGGTAGGGGTAGTAGTAGGGTAGTGGTAGGTGTAGTGGTAGTGGTAGGAGTAGAAGTAGTGGTAGGGGTAGAAGTAGGGGTAGTGGTAGTGGTAGTAGTAGTGGTAGGGGTAGAAGTAGGGGTAGTGGTAGAGGTAGTGGTAGGGGTAGTGGTAGGGGTAGTGGTAGAGGTAGTGGTAGGGGTAGTGGTAGGAGTAGTGGTAGGGGTAGGGGTATAGTGGTAGGGGTAGTGGTAGGAGTAGTGGTATGGGTAGAAGTAGTAGAAGTGTGGTACAGGCCGATCCAATGTGACGTGGTGACCTATACGACCTGGCCTCACCGAAGGTGACCTGGCCTGACCCAGTGTGACCAGGGATGACCATCTTGACCTGATTTGACCCCGTATAACCCAAATTTCATTCAACTAAGCCATCAGAATATTCCTTTATATATCTGCTTACAGACGGCTCATCGGTATGAATCAAACACCATTCGAAAGCAAACTGGCTGCTGCGTATTTTATGGCTACGCCGCGAAGCAAGTGGCGCAGCCACTTGTCTACTATACTATTTGTGAAATGAAACTCTGTCTGTCTGTTTGCACCGTGCAGAGGGGTGCTTTGACGCCGTGCGCAGGTCAAACGGTGCGGTCGAGGGGGCTGAAATTTTCGCAGCGTGTTGATGACGTCACGCGCACGTGCAGTGTCGTGTTTCGAGTCCCGGGGGGTGGATGGGTTGCACGTGGCACGCCCTGGAAAAAGGTGCATTTTCTCCAAATTTTGCTCGGTTCCCAAGCCGGCTTCAAGGCATCGGCAACCGGGTTCGATGGACTTTGGCAATAAAATGCATGGCAAGCGGCGGCGGGTGCCTCTCATTTGCGGATTGACAGCTTATTTATTTTGATAAACAGAGGCGAATGAAGGTGTTGATTTTCGGTAAATAAAGACAGTTTTCAATGCGCTTAACCGAATGCACCGCGTTTGCCGCAGTGCGCCACATTTGTCCACATGCGCTATTTTTGCCGCAAATCGCACAACATTGTCAAATATGGTCCGATAAACGTGCAATTCGGTGGAAGGATGCATGGCAAAACGACAGGAATAAATGCACCACTTTTGTCGCAATGCGCAACATTTGTCACTAGGCGCCATTTCAACCAAATACGATTAGAAATAATGGATTGACACGAGTAGGAGAAGGGTTAGGAACTCTTTTTTAGTTTATCAGTTTATCTGATGGTCTCCGACCTCACA